TTTTGTCGCTCTATAATATCAGTGTCGCTTTGATCCAAGCTATACTTTTGGTATGAGCCTTCGACCTGAAAGTCTGATCCACAAGGCAGTGAAGCATCGTAAGGTGATGCAGTCCCATGGTAGCCGGTGACCAACGATTGGTTCCTACGCCATTCGTTCCCTCAGGATTCTGGAGCACATGTGCACCATTGGTTTGGAATCAGGTTTTTCTAACTCCCCTAGGTGGACTCTTCATGTCCACCAACCCGGTTAAAGCGCCGGACGTTCGCTTTTCGTCCTCTCAATTTCGTAAACAACAGTAATGCCATGAGAAGGCAGTGAGTAGGACTTCCCTGGCAGAGGCTATATACGTGTGGCCATGTGAGAGCATTTCGAGAGGGAGAGCGGACTCTCCTCACTCTCGGCCGTACCAGGGCATTTGGGGGCTTCTTGGAAATATGAACTGAAGTAAATTGGGAGGAATTCGAACGTGCGATCTATTGTTTACAATCCCAAGTAGCTTAAAAACCAAATCACTTGTTAATCCATTCATCTTTTGTGCTGGAATATGGACCTTTGCACAGTAGTTATACTAGGTCATACATTGCATATGATTGTTTGTCTGTAGTAATATGAAACGAACAAATCATACTGACCCAAGTTGAGCAGGGCAGCTTTTACTGTTATATATCCGTGGAGTCAAAAGAGATGATGTCCTGATATATTGAGGTTTTCTGGCAATCACACAAATATCTAAATTCAATCAGTAGGAAGCTGGGGGGGGGGTTGTGACTTATGGTTAATGGATCTTGACCACTTAAAATACCTTAATTTGATCCTCATACAATTCATATCATTTTCCAACAGGTTGGTGGAGTTAGATGAAACTATTAGAAATTTGCGTATATTTCGATTTGATTCCTTAAGTATTAGAATAGAGCTGTCACGAGGCAGTCTTCAAGCTAATCTTTTGATCTTTCTATTATGTATTAGCTAACCTAGTCCAATTAAGAAGACAGAACGCTGTTTCTTACCCTCAAATAAATGTCTTTAAAAGCTTGACACAAATTTCAACTTGGTTATTTAGTCCTCAGAAATCTGAGGATCCTGAGGTTTACTAATAAGGGTGATATGTAATAACTCCCTCGACGACTTAAATCATAGCCACTTTAATATCAAAGTGACTGCGTTTTAAATAGCTCTAAGAAATGAGATGTAGTCCTTGGGATTTCGGGAGGGTGCATGTTCATCATATTATATATGGGATCTGTGCTTTTATTCCAATGAACTAAATAATTTCCTGTTTCATCATTGCTTTAGTAAAAACTTTTTATCTTCGATTTCAGCCCACGTTTACTAAACTTCAAAAGATGGTCATGCAATCACAATTGATCTAAATATCATTTTTCAGCACGAAACATCAATGGCAATAAATGAAGAAAATTTCAGTCGGTTACTTACTCAGCAAATTTCTGATATTGAAGCTAATGAACAGGAAATTATTATCCTGGAAAAATATAGATCAGATTATGAGTCTGTTAGTAATAAAATTCAGGAGTTGCAAAAGTCTGTATATAAAGATGCGTATATTCCATTCAGTCGCAAAGCGCTTGTCCGTGGGCGTTTAATTCATACAAATGAACTATTAGTGTATCTTGGTGGGACTGATGACTACTTTGCTGAATTATCTGTCTACGAAACAGTTCAGTTGCTCAGTCGTCGTATTAAACGGTTAGAGATAAAATTAGATGGATTAAGTCAACAAAAAACACTGTTAAACGATAGAATCAATTACACAAAACAATTGGTCTCACAAAAGCTAGTTTCTATACCGAAAGATTCCTCCAGTTGTACTCGTGATCAAGTTGTAGAAGGTATTGAGGATGATAAAGAAATTGAAATTAGAGAAGAGTATGATTCTGATGCTGAGATTGAATGGAGGAAAAAACATATAAATAGTCGAAAACAGGAACGTATTTCCCATGCATCAAGATGTTCCCCAGTACTTGCTACTCGTCGAGTGTCGTTTGATTTAGTTGAGCAAGTGCTTGGAGAACAGTATACTGATTATGAAAGTATTTCTAATCCCGAATCTGATTTTGATGGCGAAAACTTGTTGACTATACACTTTCAACATTCAGACACACCTTCACCTATTCCAAGAGAAACAGTAGTCGATGTTTCCACTCTTACTGTTGCAGAAGCTGTCAATTTCGCCCTCAAGATTTGCGACACACGCGGTAAAAATAAAGTGTTCTCTGTAGAACCACTCGGTGATATTAGGGAACAGCAACCAAATGTCTTAGCAAAAGCCGTCAATTTTACCTCCGAAATGTCCAGTACAAATCATCGGAACAAAATGCTTCCAACAAAACCATTTGGTGATATAAATGAACGGCAACCAAATGTCTCAGATAAACCAGATATTCCTCCACCCATCATACCAAATGAAAGAAAACGATGTTCACTGTTCCGTTCTTCTCGTATCAGAGATTCCAAACCTGCATAAATTTGTCTGGCGTTGTGCTTTTGTAATCATTCACGAGATTTCCTTTTTTATATTTTTCGACTATCTAGGATCATGATTTTATTCACACTTTGTATATATACTCATCAGATTCTTTGTTAATAGTGTTTGTTGTATGAAATGCAAACACATTGTTTTTGTGCACATTTTATCCTTATTTTGTCGAAAAAGATGGCTTGGTGATTAATAGCATTCAACTTTCAATCAGATCACGGATTCTGTTCCAGCATTGTATACTTTGCTTGGGACTCTGGGTGGTATCAATATGTCTCATACCTAAAGTTTGGCTCAAAATTCGGAATGGAAACCCGTACTTGATGAATGAGTTTTCTGAAAATAGGATCTGCTAACGAATAGTTTATCGATGACTCAAATGTTACATTTATGGAATAATGATTACTGGTAGCACGTACAAACAGAACTTAGATGTGGGCAGATTTGAATGGTGGCTTGCATTGGAATTCAAGATATGCGTTTCGTTTTATTTCAGACCTGCAAGCGGAGTGCACATGTATTCCAGAGTTTCCCCCCTTCTAGAACTCGAACCCAGTTCTGTTTGCTTCGAACTCCACCACGTTATCCATTTAGCTACTGAATCTAGACATTTAACTAGCCCGTGCAATTAGGTGAGGTTGGATTTATTCGAACTGGTTGTTTTGAGTCTTTCTGCTGATGTTTAGGACTGGAGCAGACCAGTCTCTTTTAGTATGTATGCATCTTGTGTGTACTGCCTCCATATTGTCTTTAGTTTACAAAAATTATAAACAGAGTTAGATCCAGATCTGCCTACTGTTACTAAATATCGTCCCAAAAAGCGATCCTACTGTAGACTGGTTCCAAAGGACTACAACGTTGACCTAATATTTGTAAGAGACATTTATGTAGTGAATCAAAAGTGAATTTATCGTGTATTTATGAAGCAGGTATGCATAGCACGGATATCGTGGTACTTTTTCTGTGATAAATCTAGTTAACAGTGTCGGAAACGTATACCGTGGTTTTTACCGTTGCAAGCGCGAACTGATGAACTTCTGTTGAAAATCTGGGAGCTCTGTACGGCGTTCTCGTTCTAGTGTGGGGATCCTCATCACTGCGCATGCGGGAATTGAGCCGAGAACATTCGGTCTCGCGTTCGAACGCCTAACCTCCAGACTACTAAGTCGGCAACTGCCGCAGATAATAAATCAGGAGTTGGGCACGATCATGGATTGATTAAATTTAAACATCAACACCGTTATGTGCCGGCCCAATGGTCTAGAGGCTAAGGGTTCACGCGCAAGACCAAAGGTCCCATGTTCGATTTCCGCGTGGGGGTTCATTGGTGCGTATAACTGACGAGTCCCATGCTAAGAAGACCCTGCCATCCAGTGCTCTCGGGCTCTCAGTGTTAGTCTAACTGTGATCTGTTCGTGATTTGAACTATAAGTATACTACAATTTCCGAAAATTCCCTTCACTTATCTGCTATAAATGTTGCAATCGACTGTAAGCTTCATTTTGTTTGTACACAGTACATGGACGATATGTAAGTATCTTTGTGTCATCAACTAACTGTAACAACGGTTAAAGAGACGATTAGTGTTTTTTGGTCAGTCCGAATTTATCTGATATTTGAATGTGCGGTTACTTCTGGGCGGACGTGTACGCTTTGATAGGTCAACTATCGAACTGAGTTCTTCCTTGGTCTCGAGTGTTTTACCGAATGCTCACAAATCGATCATTTACTGAAGAACAGCACACTTGAAGGTAGCTGGTTTTTTCAAGAGACACTGGTTAATGTGTGGTCTCTGCCAGTACTATTTCGACCTATTTCACTATGAAGAACGATAAGCACAGGAGCAACTATGATCTGCGATTTGTGCCCCGAAGATTTAGTATGGATGCTTTAGAAGTTATTGCCAGTTTAAAATTGTTGAAGGATATCCTTCTCCTTGCGATACTGTCGTGTTTCCTACTTTCGCGCAGTGGTTAACCCTGTCCCAGGCATTGTTATTATGGGAATCGAATAGTCCATTGGTTGTTTGGATAAAAAGTGCCTCCATCACGACATGAACTAACAGGTATAACGCAAATAGTTGAAGCAAAAGAGGTAAGAATGTTTGCCTTCGATTATCGGTTGCCTTGGTGAGTAATTTAATTACAGTGATCGACAATTTGGTCGACAGTTAACATCTGTCATTCAGAGGAAACCATTTTTAAATATGGTAAGAAGCATATATTCTCAGTTTGAACATGGCAATTTAAGTTTTTATTGAGATCGAAAAATGCCATCTGTGATCTGCTGTTTACCTGTGTGCTAACACTTTGGTTGGCTTACGGGAGGGGAAATTAATGATAAATGCGATTATTGTCTGTGAATATTGGCTGATTTTGATATTATGCGCAATAGAGATATACACATAAATAAATGAGGTCAATGAATCATCTAACATAAAATACATATCACAATTTACATGATAAAGTATTTCAATAAGCTGTCTCTAAAACATATTTGTTTAATGGACAAAAATATGTGTAGCTGTAGAATGTTGATCTTCATTACGTCCTAGTACGAATATGTGCTTTTTTAACCATGCAACTAGACGACTAGTTAGTAAATCAGCACCCATTGCACCAGCTTCCAAACCAACCCCATCAGCTGTTCCGTCATTAGCATATGGTGCACTCGGTGCTAATGCATGTCCAATGCACTGTGCACTGCCGGTTAAATTAACGCCTTCAGTTAAACATTCTTTAAGAGATTTTGGAATTAAATTACAACCCATTAATGAATTAGCCTGGCAAGCTAATAAAGAGCTTTCAGTCCATCCTGGCAATGATGAACTAGTCGAGTGAATTAAAGGTTTTTCATAATGTGATGATGGGATTGTATTAGCAGTTCCTGTGATTGCTGTATGTGGTAGATTTTCACAATGACCTGCTGTTGGACCTGATGACAAACGACTATTAGTTAGTGGATCAGGTAAAGATAGCAAGAGTAACAATCGGTTATATGGTTCAGGTGGTTCCCACTCGACACATTTTTGTAAGCGTTTAAGCATATTGCCTGGAAGCTAAAAAGATAAAATAAATGCATATGATAACAATTCATAACATAGCATGATATTTTATAAATTATTTCGAAGTTATAAAACAAACATAATTCAGACGTATCCATATGGTGGACAACGTTCTTCCTAAAACGATAAAAGCTTAGAAAGTGAACCAATTAGATCAGAAAACTCATCACCAGTAAATACACTCATTTGTACTCATTTTTGTGATTTATATTCACCTGAAAGTCTTGGGGTTAATCCCAAGTGAAGGTCATGAGTGTATATTATTAAAATCCTCAAGAGTAATACAAAACAGGAATGTAGTCCTACAATATTTTTACTAGTTTTCCAGATGATATGAGTTTGTAATAGGGATTTCCACTGATCACTTGATAAATTCAATATTAGTAAATGTTTTTGCAGAACAAAACGAATAAAAACTATCTTTTGGTGTTCACTCAACTACAAGTATGCAGTCAAAACAGAAAAACTAAATTCCTATTTTTTCATTGTAACATAAGATGGGACATGAATAAAATATCAAATATCATATCACATAGCTGTGGTTAGTTTATTAATCTTTATTCTTAACAGAACACCGAAACACAAAATGTATACTTATGGTGGTTCTAATATTTTTTTATAGATAGATCAATTTTTTCATGGAAAAGATATATATATTTCAGTCATCCATAAACAACTTAAGACCTGAATATATCAGCATAGTCAAGTGAAATTATGAAGATTAGTACTTAAGTAGTAGTATGAGTGGTAGTAAATAATTTATACATACTTTGAGCTAAAATATCTCTTTTTTGAGAACTAATGATACTATCTGGTTGTCAGAACTGAAGTAATTAGGCGTAACATTCGAATGTGAGATTGAAATTTTCGAAATTAAGTGTTTTAACCATTAACCAATCGATCGACAGATATTATTTAAATTGTGTTCATTTAAAGTTTAGTTTATAGATCTATTGTATTACAAGTACAGTCAATATCCAATTGTGTTATAAACATTATTAAATACTTTAATTTTAAATACTTGTGTTATTTAAATTTTCTTAATCAAAAAGAACTGTAGTCATGGATGATATTATTTAGGCTGTCATTAAACACCCTTCTACTATGGTGGAGAAGATTTTTAGCTCAGGTGGGTGATTTTTATGTAGTTTTATTCTCTGGGCTGGATAGTCTGACTATGGAGATTTCGTCGTTCTTCTGAACGACATCATCAGCACAAACTTCAGGTAGAAGTGAAGCGTTTGAATTTCTCCACATATAGAGAACTGTTTATTCCTTGATAAATTTCGAATAATAAAACCATTTTTTCTTCTTTCATATGTTAACAAGAATTTATATTAACACTTTCTAGGTAAAATTACCTTTATTTTGAAAAAAAGCCAACAAAACAACACGCTAAAAGTATCTGTTAAAAATTTCATTATAACAACTATCCTTTATAGTTTCAAGAAAAACTTATCAATTTAGGATATTTTTGTTATACGAACTGAGAAGTCTACTATTAAATTCATCAGTAATATTTTTGTAATTATAAAAGATTTTCCCATTGGTTTCTTTATATTTGGAACATTAAAATATTTAAACGCTATAAAATGATAGATTAAGTACTTTATTATATAACTGAATGTAGCTGTTAAGATAAGTAGGTAGTAAAAATTAATACTGAGTAGGATTTCTAGATCACAACATCATTAAAAAAGAATAATAATAGTATCAGTTACCTGTTTATATCGTCCATGTAAAAGCGGCATCCACAATGTGAACAGCTATAGAAGAAGAATGGCTATTAAGTGTGAGTTAATTATAAGGGTTATATATAGTACAATTTGAGAGGTAAGGCTAGTATCATTCATTGTTATTTATAGGGCTTAGTATTTCCTGTTGTTGTTGGTTATAACTGAAGTTCATTGGTCTTTGCTGAATAATATAAGCGCCTTGGATAGATGCCTCTATGTTGCACAAATTCATAAGTTTATTATATTTTTCGATAACGGATATCACCGTAATGCAGGATGATCGTTTCATCCTGTTTATGATACGTTGACTTAATATACCTGATGCCAATATTAATACTTACAGTGAAACTCGGACCCATGCTCATCTCTTCAAACACTAGCACATTATTCACTAAGCTATTGAGTCACGATAGATACTAGTTTTTCAAATCTTTGTACTTTCAATATACTTTCCGGATGTATTTTTTTGAATAGAGGAGGTAAGGAATAAAACAGAATCATGGTGAGGTTATCAACTAACATAAATATAATTTAGTTCATATCCCTAGGCCACTGAATAACTAAGTTCCACAAGTAAAATTTTCTCTGAATTTGAAACGTTTTGAACGGAAGTTATTTTTCTTCTCATATAGCGGAAACCAGTGGTAAACTTCATATACTTTATTAAATACTGTGTAAGGTAAATAGTAGTTGATTAATCAACAGCCCATGCCAGTCGACTTTGCAAGGTTGATTTACAAGATTCAAATGAATGTATATAAAATGGAAGCATACGTCCGGTAATCTGTTATTATGGTATGCAATGCTGACTGAGGTATGACTACGCTAAAATTTTCTAAGGCTAGTCGGGTCAAGCTATAAAATCATCAATATCTGACATGAGCGACTTTAATTGGTATGTTATAAAATTGACAGAACAAGTGTACACTCCTTCACTTTCCATCATGACGCAACACTTTAATTGTTCATTCTTTCCTCGCTTATATTCTTTAAGTGTATTTCAATCTGTATTTACGTTTGTTGTTTTCTACTTTCTGATGTCTACCCTCATGATAATATATACTATTGTTATTCTTTTGAGGACTTATTTCATTACTATGCTGAAGAAACGAGAAAAAGCATTTTATTTAAGATTTGTGTTCATTACACAGCTTCGAATGTTACGAAAAACTGAGATCAAACTAAATTTTAGTTGTAATTATGATAGTAAACAGCTATCTTTCTTCAACATCAAAAGTTTTAAGGGATTTTCAGTTTTAAAACATTTTTGTTGCACAATATCATGGCTGTACAGTGTATTTCAAGGTTTCTAAATTTCCTTGTGTTAATAACAATGTACACCGGGTCCTCCTGAAGGAAAGACAAGGGAAAAGTTATGAATAAAGTGCGTGGTACATAAGGTAAATAACACAGACAACTTGTTCAAATATTTCTATGTATTTATCTTTAACAAAGTCTAAAGGTTTATCACTAACTCTAATTATAACCTCTGAGTTCCTATGTTGCATAATAAATCTTTTCACAGCAGTTCATAACAGAATAAAAAGAGTAAATAATGAGCACAAATCGTGAAGAAAAATGCTCGTTAATCTCAAAATCATACTGATAAAAATAGAAAATGAGAAAATCAGGAGTGATCGTAATAAGCACTAACATAATAAGATCACCAGCATTATAACGGAGTCATGCGGCTTTTCCAGTTAGGAGCTTTAATTGACAAGGTGACAGAGTAACTGAGTGGGAAATGCTTTAAAATAGTCTATCGAACATATTTATTCCCAACTAGTCTGTGCATTGAGAGACTGGCATACATACAATTACATCATATATCTATATTATATGTGTTGTATTGAACATACCTTTGAAGCTAATGATGACTGACATTCCATGAGCTCTTCAATAACGGTTAACAGACGACCACTCACAATTACGAACTATAAATGCAGAAGAGAAATTAAAATAATAAGTCAGATTACATAAATATTCTAAATTAGTATTTATAACAATTGTATATCAGAACAACATTTATTCATCACAGTTTACGGACTGATGGTTATAGACTTGAAGTGATATGACTCAAAATCGGTTGCACTGCTATAACTATTCATTTTTTAAAATCGTTTAAACTTTGGGTTTTAGCATTAATTTATATTTTTTATTGCTTGATTTCGTATATCTTTTCTTCGAAATGTACTCTATGTTTAATCCTTTTTTCAATCATCCTTGATGGTACTTCACTGACTTCCCATCTTGTCAATGTCCCCTTACCATGCTGAAATATTGAGTTGTATCGTTTGGATCATTACAAATTTATCCCAAGTTCTAATTTTTTTGTCTTAAGAAAAAACAATTAGAGGGTTATTGTGCGAGGAACGTCAGGCTTAACAAGCCAATTGCTTGACCAAACAGTAACCGTATGTTAAAAGTTTTTCAAAGATTATATATTAACCGATGAAAAGCCAGAAAAACTAACTTGCGACTGACTTGTTAAACATTCTTTCATTATAACAGCTCATTGTCATCTTATTGATATTGGACTCAATTATCGAACAGGCACAGATAAGTAAGTCGAATAAAATGCCTGATAGTATGAAACATACAACTTCCGCTGATACTACTAATCTTTGTATCCTTCATGTGTTGCTTAATGAAAAAATGAATTAAATATTTCTATAACTTTATAGTGCAACTTTTCTATTTGTGTTTTCAATATCATACTAGTGGAATTACAATTCGGAAAGAACTTGAATAAGTTATCTAACAAATGAGAACTAACCCTTTATATATGGACAGGTTGGTGGGTTAACGAGATTTTAATCTATCTGACAGTAATTAGTATAAAAGAGATTTTTGAGTATACATAGTATTTTTAACCCTAATGAATTTATGGATTATTGTTCTTCAGAACATTCGTCATCAATTTCCTTGATAAGTGTACAAATAGTTTTTAAAAAGTTATTTGAGATTTATGGATTTGTTTAAAGAAATGAATACAATTGCTGCGTTTATAAGTAATAATTACGAGTTTAAATGTAATGAAAAATACACATGTAAACATACATCTTCAGAAATTGACAAGAGACGTAATATTGTTGGCATAATTCTTATCCAAAAATCAAATGCCGTCGCCATAGCTGCCTTATATTGATTTGAATTTACTGGTGAGAGGCTGGCAACAGTTTCACAATAAATAGTCCATACCTTAAATGAATTTTATATTTTTAAAATAATCCAATAATTGCAGATTTAAATGAAGTATAATTGTTATGTTCCGATAAGCATAATGAATGGTAACTTTTGGGATCAATTATGGACCAATACTATGAGTATATTTTTATCGTATAATTGTTAAATAACTAAGCTATTAATATTATTATGAGCTTTATTATACGATTTGTCATTCTTGAATCACACCCTGTCTATTAATTACTACCTCCCACATTCACAGCCATATTTGGCTAAATCTTGTACAAATGTTGTTTCATATTTTATGGTACGGTTTGGTCTGTCTGGTTGGTATATAAACCCAGTATGCTTGAAATAAATGATTCATATCGCAGAGGCTGAGATTGGTGTTCTGGACTTAACTGGCTTGGCGGAAAGCAGAACCAATGAGGACTCCAGACTGCTCGTATGGGTTTTACGCGTCATTGGTCCGATCGATAATTCACTGCTCTCTAATTGGCGGCATCGTTACCTTATACATTAACAGAGCACACAGGCCATAAGTTGTAACAATAATGTTTAACATTATTATTATTATTATTATTATTATTATTATTATTATTATTATTATTATTATTATTATTATTATTTAGTTAATCAACGTAATGTTATTCCATAAAAATTTTAAGGATGAAGAACTATTCATATTGTGTAATTGAGCTCATCGATTAATTTCTTTTGCAATGATTTTCAAGTCTACAACATACAGGTCTATTCCTAATTATTGTGTACTTTAATAAAATCCTAAATGAATCCTAAATAATTTTTATATCTTGAATTATGTTCAATAAACTGATGTTTCATGAAGCACTTTTAAACAGAATACATAGAAAATAATCCAGGCTAAAATGTGTTATAGCTTCTATTTGTCTTTATTGTAATCTATAGTCAAGGTAAAATGAATGATTATAAACACATGCGAACAATTTTCTAAATAATTTTTAATCCCAATATTATAAACATTGAGGATAGTATACTCCAAGTAATTCAGTTAGAGTTAAGTGACCAATAGGATATGAAGAATTCGTGAAGTTCCCTCTTCTCAGGAGAAATAAAATTCAGTTAATCATTTCAGTCTATTTACATAACTCTGTTAAATATATACGATACTTTTTTTGGAGAATATACGCACTAGTACATTTTATTTATTGCTATTGGTGAAAATCTATTTATTTATGGTGTGTATCCCTTCCTTTTCATATTAAAAAAAAATAAGCAGAATAATGTAAAACTAAGAGATAAATACACATCTACGCACACATATAGCCGTGCTTACTTGACATAGTAGAAAGACATGATACAATGATGACATTACAGTGACAGATTGCTAAAAAAAATTAAAAGAAACGCAGAATCACTTCAATGTGTTTTAAACATAATAATGTAGTTTTATTAAAAAAAACTGCTTAAGCATATTGTCATTAAGTTGTTAATCAAAATGACTAACACATTCAGTCATCTGTTACCGTTATTCTTTATAAACCTAATTGTTTACTGAGAAGAGTGTCGTAACCAGAAGCTGAATGGGTGAATAATTCTGTTAATACTTAGTGAAAAATTGCAGCATAGCAATTGATAGTAATGAATTTATCAATCCGCTTATTTACAACAGGATTTGCATGGAAAGAACTAACCATTATCTTGAAAGCCACCGTACTAGTCTTTTATATTTTTGAAAATAGTCTTTCTCACGGGTCGTCGTAATTTCAAGAACTTGAAAAATTAGGAAACAGTAGTCAGTCATCTCTTCTTCGGTTAAAACTCTTTAGTAGTATGCGTACAACATGGTATCGAACGTAGGATCTTCGAATCTCATAGTGATCACTTTACTCTTAGACCACTGAATCACAAGTCAGCAGTAATCAGTCATATCCGTTTCTCTACGTTTCTGAATTGCCGTTCATTTCGCTGTCACGTAAATCAAACTTGAATGACTGAGGAAAGTTTTGCAATAAAAGCAGTCAAAGCATCTCTGTAACTCAGTGACAAGTAATTGGGAACAGTTTGTGATTCATATCGAGACATATTCCATTATTTTAACGTATACATTTTGTCTTCCCTTGACTGTATTACTTTAAAACTCCCATTCATGTTAGCATTTGTGGATAATATAGTTAAATGCCAATTATCTCTGACCGAAATCCAACTTTCATTATATTTATTTATCAACTGTATATCATCAAAATATTATATATATATATATATATATATATATATATAGAGAGAGAGAGAGAGAGAGAGAGAGAGCAACTTATTCATCATTTTTGAATAAAAAATATGATAAACATACTTTCTGTTGATCAGGAAAGCCACTCAACAATGCTTTGACTAAATCTGCCACTGAAGGAACTAAATTAAATGGTATAGGACGACAAGATAAACCAGTAGCTTCACGTGTTAATGCCATATTCATTGTGGCTCCAAGCAAAAGCCACGATAATGTGCGAACTCTTTCAACCATAATAAGGAAATCTTTTGGTCTAAATAATTATTAAAAAAGTGATAAGAAACACAACAGATTAAGCTTAATGTAAATATAATTCAGTCTGAAAACAGTTGATTTGTTTACGAAATAGATACGTAGAAAAAAATTTGAATGAACTGAATTTTTTCTATCGCTTACCCTAATTGAGATGAAGGTGGAGTGGATTTTAACCAAGGTAAATACTGTAATATAATTGCTTCTGAGTGGGCCGTGTGTGAAAATGTTGAAGCGAGCATCACATGGGCATAGTTTGGGTGTCGAGAATTAGCTGAATTAGGACTAGAGATTGTTTGTGGTGTGGTAGGTGTAGATGTGACAGAATTTGGCGAAGTTAAATTTGAAACAGATATAGTCGTAGTAGAAGTAGTAACGTTAGTAGAGGAAACCTGATCATGTGAAATTGCTGGTGATGGAATTGGAAGCGCAGAAGAAATTAGTTTTGTATTGGTAACTTCTTGCTTTTTAGTTGAGGATGTTTGGGTTATTGTCATCGTTGGACGTGTATAGGTAGTTTCGCTAGGTTTACAACTAATCGAAGGATTGACATTAGATTGTGTAATAGCAACAATGGCCGTATCTGAATGGGGCTCATTTTGTCTTACAACTGATCCACTATTTTTACTAAGTTTGATTTGTGCATTAGATTGTTCCACATTTGCAGTATGTCCACTCTCAGACATTAAGTTTAAACTTTTTCCCGTTAGACCAACTGAATTAACATTCGAACCGGAGGCAGTAGTGGCTGCTTTTGATCGGGCTGGTAATCCAGGTGCTGAATTTTTACAGCTTCTCGTCGTTTTTATATCGGCCAGTAGTCCGGGTGCAAGTAAAGGGAAGACATCGTGGTCACTTCCACTGCTAGATCTGGATAACTCCAATGAAACATACTGAGATAAACCTGATTTTAAATGTGCACCTAAAACATCTTCATGCAAGCTTGGAATATTTGTACCTAACCCAGCATTAGAATTAACAACTGTAGCTCCTGTTGCAGAGTTTGATACTCCTGATGAATTAAAACCTCCACCAAATAAACTGCTACCTATATTTCCAGATGTTGTTCCTCCACCGCCTGTCAGTGTGTTTGAATCAAGATTACCAGTACCACATGGATTAGATCCGGACATCATAGATGAAGAACCAAGTCCATATCCGACGCTGTTCAACTGAACTGCTGATTTTTGAGACTGTTTAATCTGTAATACAAGAAAAAGATATATCTCTCTTTGTGTGTACTACCTCAAAAGAAAAACACTAACCATATAATCAGTAATGTATTGCGAAGTAATCTGAAGACATGAATCTCAGTCATATGAAAGTTTTCTGAACATTCGAATTATTAAAAATAAAGCCGATAAGAGCAAACGAAATAATAACTTGATAATCTATATAAAATAAACTTATATATGCCAGATACTCATTAAGTCAATCTCAATAGCATTATAAACAAAAGTAATCTAGTTCAGTGGAAACTTGTAATGGTCAAATGCATAATCCACTCTTTCCCGTTAGTACTCAAGAATGGTTCATTCGTTAGACTAAATAATAAAAGATAAAAATTTACTGCACAAAACTTATTTGTCATAAATTTTCAATATAAAACTTCTTTTAATATCAACTACTTTCGGTTATACCGCTTACTTATCATACTTAGAATTTCAGTTGTAACGCATCCATTATAGAGCGATGTCCAATGAGATCAGGAAATAATGTGAAATTTGAAACAAAAATCATTATCATTAAAGGGTTATGGAGATTGATGAATTTCATGCGCTTATGAGACCAAAGGTCCTAGATTCGATTACCCGGAGTGAGGCCATGGGTGCGCACTGCTGAGTCTCACGCTAGGAAGAAGCAGCCATCTAGTGCCTTTAGGTTTTCAATGAATTTTCACTATTTCTTCCTGGTGCGCCACAAAAAAACATTTGGGGGGCATTTCCCGAAATCTTCTGAACAAATGTCCTTTTTATATCTCAAATACCAAAAGAAGTTTAGAACAAGTTTTGTGATTGTACATATTTCCTGGATCACAACAATCTGCAAGTGTAAGTTGTTGATTTACGTTGAAATTATTGGTAAATTTATAGATGTTACTTTAGTCAGTGGTGTTATATGTTATGAAATAAAAATGAATGAATTGAAAATCAAAACAAACAACTCACCTTATGTACTGTATGAATATCTGATATAAAAGCTAAACAATCAGGCAAGTGCGGTCTCATTAATTCAGCTGCACCAGTTGGAAATAAATGATAAGTTTGTGGATTAAATAACGTTGTTATACCTTCAACAACTTGATTCGGTTCTATGGTACCACCAGCATCCATGAGAATAAACTTGGAAAAAAAACAGATCACTAAATAAAATGTATTTTTTAGTTGGAAACGTTTCGTCCCTAGGAGATTGTTGCGTAGAAGAGAAATACTATTCGTTAAAAAATAAAGTCTATATTTTCTTATTGCTTTATTTACTTTAAAAAAACCATCTTGGTAACTTAAGGTTTCATAAAGATTATAGTTTACATTATTTCTTCAATTCTCGAAACACCACGTTAGATACCGGATCATTGGTGGAATGGTATGATGGATAATGGAAGACATATAGGTTTTGATGTGTACACTCTCCAAAAGTTCCAAAACTAAGAAAAACAGACATTTAGTTTTTAATAATTTCATTAGTTCTCTAACTGATATGGGTGCATAATGTAAACACTGGCAATTAAAAAAAAATCCGATTGTTGTAAATTAAATAAAGTTAGTGAAATATATCATTCATCTGTTCAGTGATATATTAAAAAAAGTTTCTTATCTATGATCAATTATTATTTAATTCTAAACCAGTAGGTTTTAAATTACATAAAGTTAGCTTAAGGGGAAAAGGTAAAAAGAAAATTTATATTATTCTTGGATAAATAGACGAATAACAATAGAAATAAATTATTAAGTTATTGTAAATTAAGTTATATGAATAGTTGAAATCATGAGTCAATTGAAGCTACAGCACCATGGAAAACCTCGAAGCACTGGATGGCCGTTTTGTCCTAATATGCGTCCAGGATCCCGCCCACCGCGATATTCGAACCCAGGACCTATCAGTCTCGCGCGCGAGCGCTTAACCAACTAGACCACTGAGCCGGCGTCTAACGGTGTTAATGCCTAACTTCAACCAATCCACAAAATCGCTCCACCGTACACCATTGTCTTCGGTGAGCTGATATCTCATAACAGACCTGGTTGAACTCCACTGGTCATGGATTCTCACTAGAGCTCTAGGAAATGCATCTTGAAGTCAGTCACTAGTGAACAGATGATTATTATCAGAAGGGGGGACCGTGGATGCGCACCGCTGAGGAGTCCCACACTAGGACGGAACGGCCATCCAGTGTTTTCAGGTTTTCCATGGTGGTCTAGCTTCAATCGACTCATGATTTCAACTACTGAAATTACTAAAATCTCCACAAAACCCTTTCTGATAATTAAGTCATAGTTTAATTATACCAAATAAAAAGATAACATTCAAAATTTATCGTTATTCTGCATTTTAATAAAATTTTTACTTATTTATTTACTTGTAATAATTTTATCAAATTTTCATCAGGTATGCAAGCACGAAATTTAATTGATTGATAAAATAAATCAACCATTGTTCTACTTAACTGAGCTTTGGTACGATCCTATTTATTGAAGAGGAAAAAAAAGATATAAAAAAGAATGAATAATAAGTAAACATGACTAACTTTGAGATTTCAGTTTATTTTACAGGTAAAAATCACTCATTTTCACACTGGACAGTATAACTGAAACCATAAAATCTGCTTATTCAAATATAATTGAAGTCTTCTATCTTCTCTTTCATACAATAACTTTCCAAAATTTTGGCCATTATTTTGGACAATAAAGCTATAATAATATAATTTTAGTAACTTTTAAGTCACAAATAACTGAACTGTTAATACAACAATTCAAACGAAACTATTTATTAACAAATAAATAATGAAGGGATTTGTGTCTACCTATAATGCCATTTAAAACAATCTAAAGGTGTTCGTAATCTATTTTATGACAGTTTAATTAGGAAACCAATGAATATACCTTTCTTAATGTTTCTGTTATGGGAAAATCACTTCGATTGAGTCTTGAACAATACAAATTACTAATAAAACAAAATAACCTCATTGATAGTGTTAAGAAAAATAATATAGATCTTAAGGTAATGAATCATAATCAATAAGTTAGAATCGTACGTGGAAAAAAAGTTAATAAAAAATAGGAATTTTCACAGTTTAAGTCACAAAATGATCTTAGGCAAATACTGAGAATCAGAAACCCCAGGATGGCCGTTTTGTTCTAGTATGTGACTCTTCAGCGCGAGATCGAATGTCCTGGGTTCGGTTCCCGGACGCGTTGTCGTGGGTGCCTGCTGTCCAGGAGTTCCATATTAGAACGAAACAACCGTCCATATTCCTAATGGTGGTTTAACTGAGATAATTTCATTATTTAAACTACTAAAATTATACATTATCCACAAATCCAAGTGTAGTAAAGTAGAAATTGTAGTGTCATAGTTGTTGTGAAATTCATCATTTTCAATTGACAAAATGAACTAATTCAAATTTTATATTTTGTTTATTGTAACAATAATTTTAGAACTATAAATGGAGAGCCTGATGAAGAGGTCATCGAAAATGGCATATTTCTCCAACACTCTTTGTTCTAGAATATCAAATGGGAACTTTTATATTGTTTAAGATTTGTAAACTAATCACTTATGTCTCTCATGGCATAAATTTCATTGTCGAAAATATTAATGAGAGCCTGTTCATATCAGCATTGATATAGTAAGCCAAAAAGATGTGCAAAGTAACCCTAAAGAAGTAAAAATTTTCATTAATCTATGTGTCATGTCTGCTGATCATATTCAATAAAACATGTTTATTTATTTATTTTAACACATAGATATTGATACAAGGAGGCACCAAATACATATGCGCCACACAAGTCACTTCATTGGTGTGAGGGCTGTGATACTGCCCGGGTGCCCAAACCGAAGCAGGTGGTTTTCTTAGGGGGCTACACCCGGAGCCTTCGACCTGAAAGTCTGATTCACAAGGCAGTGAAGCATCGTAAGGAGATGCAGTCCCATGGTAGCCGGTGACCAATGATTGGTTCCTACGCCATTTGTTCCCTCAGGATTCTGGAGCACATGTGCACCATTGGTTTGGAATCAGGTTTTTCTAACTCCCCTAGGTGGACTCTTCATGTCCACCAACCCGGTTAAAGCGCCGGATGTTCGCTTTTCGTCCTCTCAATTTCGTAAACAACAGTAATGCCATGAGAAGGCAGTGAGTAGGACTTCCCTGGCAGAGGCTATATACGTGTGGCCATGTGAGAGCATTTCGAGAGGGAGAGCGGACTCTCCTCACTCTCGGCCGTACCAGGGCATTTAGGGGCCAATAAAGCATTTAGGTAGAATTTAAGTCGTATTATTCTTATTACTATAGCTATACACTTCTTGATGAACAACATCAGTACACGACTAACGTGAACAGAAAGTTCATCGTTGAATTAAAAATTCGTTCCTTTTCTTCCGAATATTAAAATAACAAAGCTATAAATTTCAATAAATGATAAAACACAGTAGGTTGATAAATATCAATGTCAAGGTTAGGATCGATAGTTTCAAATAAACTAAGCATTGGGTAGAAAGTTAAGGATAAATATATTTTCATGTTATATACCAATGAGTAGGAAAGTTGAATTTATGTCGACTTATGACTTAATTTAAGCCACTTCTTCAGAATAAATAAATAACCGAATTTGATTAACACAAATTTAAATAGTACGATAGTTACGAAACGTTAGAAATCTAACTTTTCTACTAACTGGAATATAACAAAAATATATTTACAGTAAGTTGAATTTCAAAAATAATAGGAAATTGTAAAACATATAGAATTTAGTGTTAGATTGATTATTTGAGTTTGTAATTACTCATAGCTGACACACAGTAAACTCTGGATGCAGCAACAGTCGTTATGTAGTTTTCATCCGTGTTATCTACTGTAATGAGCTAGTTATTAAACCATCGATATACTTGGTTACATGAAAATACAACACTCTATGACTTGCAGTTTGATTTTCAATCCAAATAACTGATCTGTTTAGATGTGAATCTACTTACAGGTTATTTCAAGCTATTTAATATACAAGTGGATTATTAATTTGTAAGACTAGTTACTTAATAGATTTGTGTTATTCTATTAAGAAAAGAGTATTAAAACTATATAAAAATGAAAATATTTAATTAGCATTTGTTATAAGTTAAATTACTGTAGAGTGTTAAAAGATATCAATAACTTACTTTTAGAACTCGATTACTTAAAGAGCATAATTCAATGACACTAGTCAAACGAAAATGTACATTTTCGACAATAATACGAAGTAAATTTGAAAAAGTATCCGGAAGTGTCTAGGTGATTCATAAAGAAAAAAGTAAAAGTAAATAAATCAAATATAATACACAGATTGAAATATAAATTATGAAAAATATCCACGAAATGAAATTAGATTCGCGGACTCTACTCACTAAACTGTGTATGAGTAGGATTATATATAGAAAAATAGCTTATCAGTGATATTTAAATGTAGCTTGAAAAGCAGCAATATTCCTTTCATTAAATAACACCTAATTTGAACACCAAAATTATGACTTTATATTAATTTCAGAAATTTGGGTGAGTGGATCGCAGCTTATTAACTTATAATGACAATACTAAATTCATAGTAAATCACCGACTATAGCTTTCCAAATAAAAGTGATATTCAGTTCTCTAAAAATTCTGTCAAAATTTTGTTTTCTTCATAAATGGTTATCCAATGAAGTCAATATAGCAATATTTTGGCGTTGTCGAGTTTTCTTAGCTAGTTAGTCGAATTAAGAAGTTTTCATTGTTGATTCGGTGAAAATCGTCAGCCCTCATTTCATGTAGAAGTTTGCTTTTTATTTGTTCCACAAGCATTAAATTAACTTGTACTGGTGGCCTTGTTTATGACTGGTTGTAATCGTAAAATTTGTGGCCCTTATTTGTCCTTGAATTCAGGTTGAATGTTCTATTTCGTTAACATCTGGGAATGCTGTTAATTAACTTTATTCAAATGGATGGAAGATTGGGTCTAGTTTGATGTGTCTATTAATCCCTGAATGGTATACTTCCAGAAATTGACTGGTCTACTTAAGATATCCTCAAAACAGAACTTCAACGTTTTAGTAGTCCAAGTTATGCCCTTAGTTGTCTACAGGCATTATTATCAGTGATATTATAGTGCTGTACCACTGAGAGATTTTATTCGCGTGTGACTAAGTAAAAAAAGGCATCTACTTTGTCGATTGTAGTGTTTATCGCTGTTGATACAGTTTATTTTGTAGGCTATGTTGCATTTATCCTATCTTGCTGTTGTATCTTTCGGTCTGTATAGATAAAGTGAAATGATTACATTAGTTTGTGAGTGGTACCAAAAATGATTTCGGAGATATTTTTCATACATTCCAGTTCCACCTGTTTCCGTTTGTTTCTGACGTTGATTTTATGATTTCGGGTAGATCGATTAGGAACTTCTACATAAAGCCGTCAGAATCTTTATTTGTACGGAAGACAGACAAAAGAGTTTTCTTAGTCTTTCACGTAGCGGCTACGCAGAAGTGTATTTTCTTTCTTTTGAATAATGTCTGTATACAACTCCTCTTGTATGTTGCTGGTTTGTCGCTGTCGTATTTTACTACTTAATAAATATGAATTTGATTCTTATATACTTGTGCTTCCGATGTTCCTGTTTGTTTTATTTAATAAGATATGCAAGAACAAAATTTTGTTTTCTGATTCCTCTTCTCTTGTCAAGTTAGTGTCGTCAAAGATGTTGTATTTTCAAGTCGGTTTCTTTTCGAGATAACAATTATGTAGTCTACCCAATATATCGGAATCTTTGGTATGATTACAAGTCTTCGGATCACAATCTCTGGGATTAGTCATGATTTAAATGGCCTAATAGGAGTTCCATTTATTCATTTGTAGATTTAATCGTCCAGTATATTTTAAGAAACGTATCTGTGAATTAGACTGAACTTGGTTGCTCTATGTTTGTGTGTTCTTTGAATTATTCATTGTCACTGAGGAGTTGCAATATAATTTGAAAATTACTTTTCAGCAATCTATTTCCAAAACCAACTAACTTTATTGCATGTTGGTATAAAACACGACTGAACAAGTATAATGTTGATTTTTGATTTTCAATATAATAAATCTGTACTACATGAGCTTAAAATGTCCAGAAATATCATCAGAAGTCGAAGTTTACCATAATAATATCATATGTAGAGAATATTCATGTTTATTTCTACTAACTAGCCTTTTTATATGCATTCGATTGCTGCTCTATAGTTTGGTTCGAAGTTTTCATTCATTATAATACAATATGATGTAGATCATTTTACTAATGACATTTATCTGTAGACTAATCACATATAACTAGTGATTTCATAAGTACACATGGTTTCATAGATGCGAAAGCATAGAAGAAAAAATGATTGAAGTTAAAAATGTTCACTTAACACAATCTTAATGTAAATATACATTTAGCACTGATAGGCTTAGTTGGAAAATGTTTCTTTGAAGAACTTCCCGCCAACTTTCGAGACAATGTAGAAAGAGTATAATCAAACTTCATTAAAAAGATAGAGTACATAAATTAAACAAAAGATGAAAAATTATCATACTACTCATACACTGAGATTACCTTGAAATTCGATGCAACAGGTGAGCGTACTACATAGGTCATAATACGTACAGTTGTAGCTAAATTAATTGGTATCGGTGTAACAGTGGTTAATTTTCTTAAAAATAAATCCAACGGCCCAATTATATCAGTCCATCCAGAGGCTATAAAGTGATTTAATTTACTGTCATCTGTTAAATTTGGTAAATGTTCTAGATAATTAGCAAGATTTTCTAATAGAATAGGTAGAGTATCAAGACTAATTGATTTTTGTTTGTTTAATGATTCCATCAGTAAACTGATAGGTTGAAAAATGGACATATGATCTTCAAAATCAACTAGCACAGAAATGATTGTTCTAAAGAAATTATCATCTATTCAAATGAAACAGTATAAAACAAGAAAAGAAGAAATGGAAAGGTCACAAAAATGATTCGTGTACTTAAATTATAATTGATGATAAGTGAAGAATTTCTCAAGCTGTTCACATAAATAGTATTCGTACCGGAACCAGTGTTTTGTCATAGCTTCAGAATACCGAGAATTTATACCCTTTAAATTTTCATAGATCACATCGGTGATAAAAACTGAACGTTATTCTAACATTAAATCAGTTAGCATCACCGTCAACTTCAAACAGGAATAGTAGGTATTGGCTTAATATTTTAAACACTTGTCATACAACCACTTTATTTTACAGATTATAGCATGCATTGATCATACTTAGACAAGCACTGAGAACCAGAAAGCTTTGAGTAGTTAATATAAAGGGATCCTCCTTCATGATCCTACCGTCGATGATTGAACCCTGAACCTTTAATCTCCCGGGGAAGTGTTTTACCTCTGGATTACTGAGCCACCATCCAATGTTATGCATATCTGACTTGGAACCATTTGTGATGCTGTGATACCATTTTCCATTGCCTACAGCGGATAATTATCACATGATTGAAATTCATTAGTCAAGACTTGTCACTAAAAACTCAACAATCCCCCCAAAACCCACGTAGTTTGCTTTATGTTGGGATCACATGTAGCTGACTTTTGTATAGAATAGCAACTAGTCCATTGAGTCTTCATATGAAATGTGTAAATCAACATCTGATATAAGGATATGGTTACCATATTGTATTATTAATAGACCAGTAGTTAAATATCAATTATAACAGTTCAAGTTTGTTGTTTGTACAACAGAATGGATCATGAACCCCCGCTGATAAAAGGTCTGAAATCAAGCCGCAGGGTCTGTTCAACGATTATCATATTGATGATTCTTCAACCGGAAAAGAACCTAAAAACAACAATCCTTTCAAAGTATTAATGTGGCTTACAGACAAACAGCGTAGCATGATAATAGCTAGTGAATACGGTCAAATAAAGTTATAATCTTGCTGATTGTTAGAATTTTACAGGCCATGTGAATATGGAATGTCAAATGCAATGTTAAAAAAGTAACTTACAATTCCCATAACCATTAGCACTATGTTTTATTAGAATAAACATAATAATTCAATTAAAATAAAACAAACTTTGTATCACAGGATTCATCTTATGTCCAGGATACAGGTACATTGATACCATTATGTTATTTGATTGCCGTAAAAATAGTTAGTCTAATCTCTGATCTTCATAAATTAAACCTTTCAGCTGAGGTATGTATTCATTAAAAAATTCAACTTTGTCTCTCTGGACTCAAATAAATTCCTGGATTTGTAATTTTCATATACAAGTTTCAATGGCTTTTAGTTCTGTGGTAAGAATGACCACAGTCCTACAATCTTTATTGCAGTTTAAAACCTATGAGGTGATGTACATGGCGTAGCACGGGTGGTTAATATAATGAAACGTATAATGTGACTAAAATGAGGCGCAAACGCTGATCGTGGTTATAAACAGCTGTAACCTTAAATGTAAATCCTGTATCATTAACAAGTAATATATTTCATAGGTGCTAATAGCATAGGCGAAGCTAATTCTGCGTTGGATCTAATTCAGATTGTACATTCAGAAAACATAATTTAAAAGATGGTGATCTCCACTTCTAGGTATTGTCAAAAAAGTAAGTAAAACGAGTGGCTTTTTGATCTAAATCATTCTAAATCATCTCTTTATATGAATTACTTCACCTGTAAATTTTCTAGACTCTGTAATAACCTACCACAATCTATCCGCACGATAAAATCACTCCCATTATTTGTTCGCTGCATTGATGCATACTGCTCCTCTGAAAATGCATTGAATGGTCTAGCGCCTTTAAGTGTGTCTCATTCCACAAGTGATATTTTAGGAACCTTAAATGTTTAGCCATCGTTATTAGTGAATTCCTTTAGTAAAACCACCCACTTGCTGTCAATATGTTAACACCGCCCCTAGCAACTTTAACTAGTTTGAATAACATAACCAGTATATCACTGTGTCACATGACACACGCATTTAGGTAGACAGGATTGATATATTTTGGTAATTACTTTTTTGTTGTTCCGTGCTCTCTGTTTTCGTTTTAATTTCTCTAGTTGTAGATAATTATCATTATTTCGGTCTGGCACACGAATTGACCTTAATTACACCGTTCATAAATCAACAGGCTGTCCATTTAAGAAATATTAAAAATTCCCGACTGATGTATAGGATCGCTGTAATATATATACTACATAAACAACTACTGAACTAGTATACTTAAAACTTTCTTTTATCACATGTTTGTTCTGCACGTCTAATGTTATTATTTATATCAAATTGATCATGCCTGTAAACTGGCGTGAATTCTGTAATTATTTTTTTTTTCAGAAAATAAATTATTATTATTAATAACAAAATATTGTCACAAAAAGCTAGATGGTAATTTATAGTTCATGTGGGATCATTTATCAGTATCTGATAAAATTATTGTAAGTTAATTACTTGCCTGTAATATGAGTTTGAAATAGTTGAGTAAACAGGCCATTCGGGGCTAAATTATACATTGTACAACGAAGAAACTGATGAGCAATGCTAGCCACATTTCCTGGACTAATCACATGTGGACTAAAGGGATACAGAGAGAAAAAGCATCATCTAATTAATATGTTATTTACCAAATTTTTAAAGATCCCTAACATACAACAGGTAAAGTATTTTTTTATTATGAAATGCACGAAGTAAAATACATTACATATAAGATGAACTTGAAGGTGAATGATAGAAATTGTTTTCAGTTACACAACCATCATATCGAAAGAATGGTAAGTTACAGTGGCATCTACCATTAAGTGGAATTATCATCGAGAAGTCCTTTCTTGGAAGAACTAGTATTTACACGTTATTCGTAGAATGTAACAAGCAGTGGGATCCAGGACGAGTATTTTTTTCCTATTTGGGACTCACCAGCTGGATGCACCTGGATCGCAGAATTGATTTTCTTTCCCGGATTGAAACCCAGCATCTTCCTCTCAAGTGCTAACGCGTTATCCACTTAGCTACTGATTGAGGACAGCCACTCACTTTTGTTACGGATATGAACGTCTAAGTTAATCAGTAAACGCAAACATTGGAGCAAGGAGGTACTAAATATATATGCGCCACATAAATCATTCGATTTATTTGAGGGTTGGGATACTTTTTGGGTGCCCAAAGCGAAGCAAGTTAATCTGTATTGGTTTGAATTAACCCTTTGTTGGTATTTTCACTGAAATTTGACTAGCCTTGATTGGAAAATGTGCTTTCTGTAAGGATTGCCTTGATATGGCCATTGTAACAAAAGTTTAAATAGAATAGATGCACATATGTCAAATAAGGCTGGTCAAATTTCAGTTAAAATATCACCAACGGAAAAATCTAAACCACTGCAGATTAACCTAAAGTTGTTTAGTTACATGTGATCTTCAAATAAAACATATCATTGTGAGAGAGCTGTTAACAACCTTCGTAACAGTAGAGAGCTGGGTTCAAAATGCTCATTATGAATCGCCGAAAATCCCATAGTCCGACTTTTAATCAGAATACCATAGAGAATGTGATATTTGCAACTTTAATTATAGAGCAGTTTAGATTTATAGATTCCAGGAAAAACACTAGTACAGCGTCTAATTTTTCTGTATACAGGAATATCTATCACATAACGGTAAAAAACATCAAAGATGGTACTGATATATATAAAACACAAAAAATGATTTCGGATGATAAAAGGAATCGATTTAAGCTTTGTGTTAAAATTTCTGTGTATATAAGGGAACTCATCTGTGTTTACAATATATGGTAGTGCGGGCTTAAATTCTAAATGGCGTAACGATTACTTCGAAATTGTCAATATACCTTGATGATGAGTGCTAACCAGAACAGGATGTAAGTTCAGTTTTTAGACTATTTAGAGAACAAGATAAAAAATATAAAACATGACTCCATTAACTTTTGTGTCGTCAACTGAGATGAATAAGTGAATACCTTAAAAGGATTGACTTAGAGAAATCAAATTATATTTCAATTTTTGTTACTGATTCAATGATAACATTACTTTGACTAGACGCTGAAATTCCTTATTAAAGGAAAGTTGTCAAAAATCCCATATAAGTTCTGTACAAGATTGGCACTGTAAATAAAATAATTGAATCTAATACAAATACGGCTGTAAGAAGAAAATTTTGATATAAACCGGTGTTTGCATTTAAGCATAGTCAATGAAGTACAGGAGATTTTAGAAAGAAATAATTCATACTTTTTGGTTGCACAATGCATTTTCTCATAAATTTATATGACAAATAAAATTTTTAGATGCGAAAGTGTTAGCACATAACTTACAGTTCAGGTTGCCAAGAATAAAAATATGCATTGGCTAGACGTGCTGTAATAAGCAACATATCGCGTAAATATGGAGCTGCTAAACCAGGTTCACGATGCACAAATGTAGATAAACATAGAATACCTAAACCAATAGTATTTTCATCATAATGATCTAGAATACACTGACACCATGGACATCTTTCAGTGGTCAATGCGATAGTTATTGCAGCGGCTGTTAAACTAGGCATTGTATTTGTACTAGAAATATGAGACTGAACATTTGTATTTGTAGTATGTAGAGAAGTAGTGACAGTAGCATAAGAAGAAGATGGTATATAACTATGCTTCTTTGTACTTTCTGATTTTTTATCTGATTTTATTCCTTCAAATAAATTATAACCTTCAGTAATAGATCGTGAACGATCTACAGTTAGTGAATTAATACTACATGAATCTTTAGTAGAAGCATTATTCTGGGATAACAAATCGTCTCTAGATTCTAACGGATGTGATGAAGTAGAAATTACTGGCATCGTAGGTTTACTTTGTTGGAAATTTGTACGTTTACTTTTGTGTATCTGATGTACTGAGTCAGATAGTGAGTCTAAAGGTTGTGCTTGTTGAATATGACTAGATGAATCAGTTCTGATTGGCTTGGGTTTTCTAAAAAGAATTAATATTAATAATTACATAACAAGGCAATTTATACATGTAAATAAACTATTTTGATATTTTATTTATCACTAGAAATCAAAAACATTTTCAAGTTGATTCAAATGAACAATATATGTGACTTAAGTTTTAATCTTTCCACCAGGAAACTACAGAAATGGTTTGTAAAGAGATAAACGAGATAATATTACCGAATAATGTAATACAATGTTTTACTGTATTTTCATGGCATTATATTTTTTCATTGTTGTTATTGAGAACTGAAAATCGATCACTCACTGTATATTCATCCTCAATATTATCATTTAGTCACATGTTTTTGTGAAAGTTAAATAATGGCTAACAATGGAATACAAGACAAGAGTTCCTCTTTATTCGGGACTCTTCATTCGGTTGTGCCTGTAACCGTGGCTAAATTGAACGAAAAACGAGTCATGGGCACCAGAAATTCAGTTTTTTTATCATAGTTACAAACTGCTTAATGGAATTCATGTCACAAAGTCAAGTTGCATGCAGAAAGAAAATCCCATTATTTTATATGTCAAAGAAGTACTGTGACATGTTATGAAATTGTTTTTATATAGTCTTTCTTAGTGTTAATTTTGCACAAACTTTATTAAAGAACTGATTTTATTCTAAAAAAACAGATGGTTTTATTCATGTTAGTTCAGATGTACATCGAGTTGATGAGCCTTTTTTTCACTAATATAGTATAGGCCTATTCCAAAGAAGTTTTTAAATTTACAATACTGATATGCATCATTATTTTGAAATTTGTACTGATAACCACAAAGAAAATCGTTTGACCATACGTAAGTTTTAAAATAAAAGAATTCCTAGTCATTTGATTTTTAATTGGATAGTAGCAGGAAACTTTCATAAGAAAATATCTAGTTTAAAAGACTACAGATCATTTGTTAATCTATTTCCAAATTCAGAAGCAAAGTCGATGGATCGAAACCGTGAATAAACATATTGTATAAAACAAAGATAATTTCATTTTGTTCACCAAAAACATTTTGTGACAGTTTTTATCCATGGAAATAATAATACATAAAAAAAGATTGTGGTGTGACTTCTGATGTATCCAAACGAAGACCCTTTTAGGTGAGAAGCAATCGGAGTAAATATGATTGGATAATAATTAGAGTATAAAAATAAGTGTCATTAGTGAAGTTAGACATCAACACCGTTAGATGCCGGCTCAGTGGTCTAGTTGGTTAAGCACCTGGCGCGAGACTGATAGGTCCTGGGTTCGAATCTCGCGGAGGGCAGGATCGTGGATGCGCACTGCTGAGGAGTCCCATACTAGGACGAAACGGCCGTTCAGTGCTTCCAGGATTTTCATGGTGGTCTAGCTTCAATTGACTCATGATTTCAAACAGTGAAATTTCTAAAAATCTCCACAAAGCCCATTCTGATCATTAACGAACTGTCAGGAGAAAAAGAACTTTCTTAAAGTATAAGATTATATATAAACTAAGGAAAGAATAAAAAAAAACTAATCAAGCATGAAAGAAAACAGGAGAATATAAATATTGATATCAACCCACAACAATAGCAACAGTGACTACACAAAAGATATCTGTTCACATAAATGTGTCTGTATATTGAATAAGGCTACCACTTCTACAATGTCAAATAAATGTATGAGTAAATCTTTATGTAGATTAGGTTAAGTGTAATAAATAAGATCAAATGACAATTATAATGCTACAGTCATTATATAAAAATGGCACATTCTGAAATAATCAGAAAAAAATTAGTTTTTATTTCTCAATGCAGATTCTAAATTTAATGCAAATATTTCATTTGTTGGTATGTAAATTAGAAAATAAGTCAAGCTATCTGTTCGTATTTTGAAATGTATGTAGTAGTTTATCCATAATCAATTTCATTAAGTAATCCAAATAATGACTATGTATTATAGTTTAAAAACTATATAGTTCACTTAATTTACAGGAAAAAAAAAGCATGATTTCATGAATAAATCTTACTTTTCATCTTGAAAGACAAATGCTGAACTACGTTTTGGGAATTTTAGTGTTACTTTCTTGGGTGATTTACAGTCAGTAGATCCTCCTATTAATAATGAAAGTTTTGATTAAAAAAAAAGTGATCATATCAAATATTCATTTATAAACAGAGTATTTATTGAACATACTGATCTATCGTAATATACAATTGGAAAAGTAAATAACTGCTTGTTTTGTTTAGGCAGAGTAAAATGTGATGAAACATATAAAAGCTTTCCCCAAATTATTGGATGATGAAAACCTTGTGTAGTGACTGACATATATGAACAACCGTTGGATCTTTTGTGTAGTCGCTTTCATTTAGCAACTGTTTAATTTTTGTTACAAACTAGTAACTCATTGTTGCACTATTTTGGTTGAATATTTGGCATGCAAATAATACTTTTAATTATCTAATACATATTCAAATATCCAGTCAGCAGGAAGATTATTCTGTGTTCAGCAAGTAAATGATCAGTGTATTCATCACAGTAATTCACATACTTTATGAAGTTAATTTATTCATCACAACACGTTTCTATTTTCCATGTGAAGTGTTCTACAAAAGAAAATCTAATTATTACTTACCTTAAAAGTTTTGATACAGACATCTGAGGTGTCTTTTGTGGTATATTGTGAGACTAATAATAATAATCTAGGAATAATTTCGGTATGATGAGATATTAGGTGACAAAAGCTAAAAGCTAAGCACAGAAGTAAAACATGTAGAGTTGAATGAAACTATTAAATAAGGTAATGGGTCGTATTCAACAGATAATCCTGACTGTAATTACTCTGAAGTCAGTTTTTTAGGCTTTGCAGTTGAACTAAATAATCATGGACTAATCACCCAATTAGAAATTGTGTTAATACCGCGTAGATTGATATTTGAAAATCTAATTTACCTCTGCTCTACTAATACTTTGATATTACAAGCAGCATATATATAATAAACTTAATAAAATGATAAAATCCACATTAGAGCTGCATTTTTATGGCTTAGTATAGACAACACAGGTTTATCAAATTTCAAGCATACCGAAAGTATCCTTTACACAATACTATTGAATAATTCAGCTTTACAAGTTCATAGAAACATTTCTACAAAATTTGATATAATACAATAAATTAGTAATGGTACTAAACTAATAAGGTACAACTAAATGAGTAAACATTGAGTAAATAAAAAGGAATTATTACAAGTTAATTAAACATATGCATATAATGTAGAATAATCATACACAAATTTTAGTCCCCTTAACAAAAAACCAACAGATGAATGAATTAATCACTGCAACCAACCAAGTGTATATACATACACCATTTTTAACAGAACAGTACAATCATTGAACTTATTTATTAATCCTAAAGAAAATTAATTTCACTTACTTCTTAATTGTTCTTCACATGCTTGCATTTTAATTGATTCAGGAGTAGTTTCTGAGACTACAGTCAATTCACTATCCGTTAGAAGAGGCTTTATCAAACGTATATGTAATTTTCCATGATTATTATTAAATGAAAGATAGAATTAGAATGAAAAAGTTAGAAAACATCAGTTAAAAAAAGGAAGAACAGTTTTTTTGTGTATGTGAGACTAAAATTCAATAATTTGTAAAACTATAAAAAATGTTAATGATTGAACATGTGACAAGTTAATCATTATTACCTCATAATTTCATTTACATAATCATAACCAATGACTAAATTTTTATTAAAACTCACCTTTTCAAATATTATAAACAAAAGAAAGGAATTAATTAGTTACTAAATCATATGTTATATCTTATTTGTGTTTAAACTAAACTACTCTATATTTAAATACTACAGATAATTAATATAAAACTGTAGTGTAAATAAAAAATTTAAAAAGAACTAAAACGTTCTAACGAGAATTTAAAAGAGAACGAATTCATGTATAGCAGACAACGCAATCAAATCATAAACATGCGCTTACAAGTAGCCAGCGTCAAGATGAATCTCTAGGAACTTTAATGAAAATTTGTGATTGCTAAGCTTCAGTTGCATCATGAGTCAAACAATTACCACAAAAGCTGAACTTTCTCAGTTTAAGACCATGAAGAATAATAAGTGTGCTCTGTTAATGAGTTTTGAATGAAGAAGAAACAGTTATCTACTGTTCTCCAATTTTTGGTGGCCTTCCTGTTGGTTTAAGCTTTTGACGAAGACTATTTTGACACGAGCCAATATCACAGACTGGTCTCAGCTGTACAACTGTCGAGCACAGAACATCTGTTTATTTGGAATAGACGACTGCTCAGTAGTGAACATCCATGACCAAACTGAAGCAAACGGTTGAAAAATACTGTGAACTGACTGAAATCAAACATATAAATCACTGGATCGCGGCTCAGTGGTAATAAATGTAGGTGCTTACCACGAGATCAAAAGGTCCTGGGTCCGATTTCTAGTAAGGTAGTGAATCCACATTGCTGAATAGTTCGTTGAGGAGGGCGCATCCATTCAGTGTTTCCTAGTTTTTAATTATTGTTTAACTAAGATGTATCAGTAATGTTAACTATAATTTATAAATGTTTTATATAGCATATATTCCATAGATTGTTAACATTCTGAGGTTTTACTTTATATATTGATAATCGCAGTTTGAACCATAAAGTAATTACTTTGGTGAAATTTCATTTATAGATATAAGCATAGTTTGAAAAAAGCAATAGACTACCTCTCTATCTAAGTACAACATTTATCGTGCATTCAATATACAATAGTTGGAACTACTTAAATAATTAAAACCGGGCTATAATATGTAAATAAAAGTGTGATATACCATTCAATTTATTTCAGTTGAAACAATGATAAAAATTTTTATATTTTACTAACTAATATTTCATGAATAATATTTATTCAAAAATAATTCAACTGTCATTATATTCTACACTTAAATAAAATGTACGCTAATGTATTTGAATATATGCAATTTTCTTTCCTTAAATAATATTTTACCATAATGAAGGTTGTGAAGATTGTTGAGTTTCAATTGATATCATGAACAAATAAATGTTAGACCAGCATTGGAAACCTAGAGGCACCAGAAACCTGTTTCGTCCTAGTATGGGACTTCTTAGCAGTGCGCATTCATGATCCCGCGCGTGGGACTCGAACCCAGGACCTTCAGTCTCGTGTATGAATGCTTGACATTTGGAACAATGAGCTTGCATCCAACGGTGTTAATGTCTAAATTCATACTAGGACGAAACGGCCGTCCAGTGGTTCCAGGGTTTTTAATGGTGCTCTAACATTCCTCCATTCATGACATTGATTTTGAGTTTAATTAAATTATTGAATTTTACACATCAGGACATTTTATTCGAAATTAAATCATCAGTGAATGAAATTATTTTATAATGATCACGGGACAAATGGTGAATAAACTAATTAAAATAATTTTTCTTTTATTATATAATATTTGGTAGGTGCGATGCATATATTATTACAACTAAGTTTAATAACTTATGAAATATATACATATAGGATTTAGTTAGTTTTGTAAATATTGGGTTAGTCATCAAATATTAATTGATCACCGAAGAACCTCAATCAAATATCTAACAATTACTTTAGTGAAATGAACATAAAATTGGATTACTGTTAATGATTTTACATTGTGTATAAGATGCTCATTTTTGTCGATAAATTAAAAAAAAACAGAGTAATTAATTTCAGTGAGAATAATCTATGACAATAAGATATTTATACATTGTAGTTCACAGTATAAATTTTAGTCAGTAATTACTATTGAATCAACTTTTAGTTATAAATTTGATTCTTGTATTGTATTAGTAACGATTTGAAAGTGGAATGTTTGTTAAATATTCAGTTTACTTAATTAACTTGAACAAGAATTGTGATTGTTTAAAATGGTGATATTGTCAAAGTAAAAATGATGAAATCTAATAAACACTAATTCTAAGACTGAAAGTATATATGACCCACCAATTTGACTTCTATTTGGATGAACGTATGAATATGCGATAAATATAAATTTTCTATTTAGCTCCGTACATTACCTAGGCTAACTTCTTTTGTGTGATGGAGGTATAAGAAGCCAAGTATTGGTCGCATTGGAGGGATCTATCTCAAGGATTTGTTTATCCGGATAGACATTTAGAATAAGAAGCGGGAAACCGATGCGGAGCCGAGAAGGCGAGGGAGTCTATTTGACTTGACCAATTGTGACTCGATATTTAAAGTCGGACAAAGATAAGTTACAAACATGTAATGAATAGGGTAAGCACCTAATACACGTACACACATATAAAAACAGTGGAGGTTAATAAGTAAGCAATTAATAAGGTCACAGTGTGACTTGAAAAGAATAAATCGCTTGTCATGAAGCTAGAATAGCCCGTGTGTTCTCGACATATATATATATATATATATATATATATATATATATATATATATATATATATCTTTCAGCAGCAAACCAATCAGTTTATTTCATATCGATAGTGGCATGTTTTCTTGTTCTTCAAAAGTATAATTCTGTGTTTATGAAACAATGAACTAAATTCAAAACCAACACAACTTGGAAAAATCAGATGTACAATTAAACAATATTACGTGGTTTAATGTATATACAAATATATGTATATATATACATATGTATGTGTATAGCTAAATAAGTAACACTGAAAGCCTGATGTTATGTGCTCATAATTGAATACATAAGCTACATTTAGGAAAAAGCATATGTCTAAATTGTGTACTTTGCACCATCAAAACATGGTATGTTGAAGGTAGAATGGAAACAGAAGTTGAAAATCATCTGTTATTATTATTATTGTTATCATCATTATTGTCACATACACACTCAAACACGCTAACAAAAAACAAGCTAAAGAAAATTTTTCGCAGAGTATTTTACGTCTACCAATGGTGATACTTGAATTCAATGAAGCAATAACTAATTACAATGAAATTTTTTTGATTGCATGCAACTATCAGAATTATAAATCTCAAAATAAATAAGGATGAAAGCGTGAGAAAAAAATAATTGGTGGAATGCTTCACATTTGTTGTATGAAGAATAAACTGGAACACAAAGTACGCTAATATGTATATAGGTATATATATGTTTACACGCTTACCATGAAAACTGAACTGTTGGAAAACTAGTATTAGATAGAATACACACGTTATAGATAATATATATATGAATATATGTATTACTAAAAATATTACATAGATTAAACTGTATCTTCAATTTTGACTTATTACCAAAGAAAGCGTGATCAATCCACGTCGTTTGCCTCCAACCTTCTCCGACACGGTGTTAAATTATCTAGATTAATGCCTCTTTATTTTTCTCAGTTCTTAAACCATTATCTAGCTACAGTCACTCTATCATGCAAACTATAGAATGAATATGCTGACATTTACAAGCGATATATTTTATTCTTTTCTACTTGTATTACATAAAGTAATATTTAAGAAGAATGACTTAACATAATTATAGTGTACAAATAAAAACTGTATGAACATCTTTTAAAAAAATTTGCTTCAATCATTTACGTAACATTATATTGTTGGGAATTTTGAGTTCTATAAAATAAAATTAAGGTTTACCAAATTATACCATGGATTTTCTTGTCCATATTAACGACTATTGTTGAAACAGTCTTGAAAATACTGACTTCTCTCATTAATATAAATTTATCAATTAAGTTTTTCATTATTATAGGTTATTTAAAAAACTGGATACAATATAATCATTATGTTTTACATTTTTAAATAATTGGTTTGATAATAATATATTCAAAGAAGATATCTTGTATCTCCTAGACAGGAGAAAAACGTAATTTCAGTCAAACGTATACTGAATCTACAATAATTGAATGATTATAAGATTCTCAGTGTTTAAACTATGAATATATTTTATAAACGACTATCTCAACTACTTTTATCATTATATATAGGTCAAGTGTTTATTTAGATTATAAAACTACAAGTGTCTGAGTTATTATTTAAAATTACTGAAATAGAAAAAAAATATTTTAAAAGACGAATCAGTTATGTATTCTTTATATACGCATATGCGTGTACTTCATTCCAAACAAGAATATAATACATACTGTCTGAAATTTATAACATTAGAGGATTATTTGTTATGAATAAATAATAGAGACCTAACATAAATGAACACATTTCGTAAACTCAGTATCCACTGAAAAGTAATTGTTAATTTTTCAAGTTAAATGTAAAAGTTTTATAATTTGGCTTGTATATACAAGCACAGTCCAAACGTTCAATTAAAACGATAGATATATTAAATATCTATATTTTTGTAATATGGAACATCCATTTCAAATCGAGGGAACAGTTGACTCATTTAATCAAATATTCAATAACTATGCATCAAGATCAACATGATTCTCCTTGAACTTATTTGATATTTGACAAATCACTCAAACCATTTATCAATGACAATGTAGTGTAATACAATTGATTTTCAATGCGAGGTGATGTGACCAAAAATACCATTGGTTATATGAAATTATGGCATTTCTGTATCAGAATGAATGTCGATTAAGGAAAGTCATTTTTGTTAATTCTCGAAAAAAAATCAAATCTAATTATTATTTCACTTCATGCTGTCTCATTAAGAAAAATCTAATGTGATTAATTAGAAAACTTCTTAAAAATAAGTTAGAGATTCTTTGTGACTTGATGAATATTTCAAGTACAAGACAGCGAAATCATATTTCGTTAATGAAATTCTTACATGACCAGTTAAAAAACCGAGTGGTGCTAAACTCTCCATTTTGCTCTTTTAAAAAAACATTTCAAACGTAAATTTTAGGCTATGTGGAGAACGTGTCACACTGGTACCAACAAGACAGATATCAATACTAGCTACTTTTAATTTTTTGTCATGTCATTAATGATTCATGTGTTTACCAGTGACTATTTGTTCAATTTAGTGATTTCCTTTTTTCTAATGTGTTGGGGATCCCCAAAACTCACTTGATAAATGCCTTAATTTTGTAAATTTATTTTGGAAAATTGAATCTCCTTGTTTCCGCGCCGAATTTCACTTTTCACCCTCATGTCGTATTTCCCACTTGGGAGAATCTTTAACGATATTGGTTCGTTATGCATTTTCAGTATGTTATTTTTGCAACGCTTCCCCAAGGACAGTTTTATGCTGTATATATACGTTTGATTTGTGTCTGTTATTATTCATTCGTGCTTCTGACTTACGGAATATACTTTCCCGTTCCAAGCTTGGACTTCTTCCTCTAGTTAGCGGGTCTGGAACGCATCAAATAGCTAGCTTATTGATCTATGGTCACAAGTCTTTGTTCTGTTCGCATACTAGGTGAACTAGTAGTAACTTCAAATAACGATAATTCCATCATTTAAAAAGCAATTTACTTTAAGCGAAAATAGAATGCATATACTGTATTTTGTGGGTCCTAATTGCATTTTTTAAAGGTTTTTTAAAAGTAAATGATTTGATTATTATCGATTTTTTTTAAATTACTGTTTTGCAAACTCTAATCAGTTATTATTATTACCCTATACAAGTTTTGTTGATTATTATTCAGTTTATTATTATGACCTTTGAGGTTGTCGCTTATCTTCATATGTGTCAATTGGACTATTTATCTGACCCATAAACGATTTTCTTCTTTACCTTTTGATTAGTACGTCACCTCATTTGTTATTTATTCTCGAATCCATTTTTGTGATGCAATCTTTTCTATCCGCATATAGACATATATTTTCCATATAACTCTATATACGAATGTACAGCTTAAGTAAGTGATTTCGTCGGAAGGGAAATTTTTTTCACTGAATTCTCTTTTGAGAGTTATTACATAAACAGTTGAGCAGAAAATAAAAATAAAGTCAGTTTACTTTATTTACCGTAATGATTGATTGTTCATCTTGTGTTACTGTATATGGATCAATTGATGTAGTGCTTTGTTTATTCTCATTTTTCTCTTCGGGAATGAATGAGTTATTTAACGAATGTTGGTCATTAAGTTGATGTCGTTGTGGTATATGCTTATTCATTGAGATAACTAATTTCGGGGTAATGATCTTTTTATAAACATTTCGGTGAGGCAAACTACTCCCACTTAATAAATCGGATGATTTACTGTTTTGTTCATCATGTTTCTTCGATTCACCGAGATCGTCTTCACCATCAGCAATAGTTACTTTATTCCCGCTTTGTACATCAGTTTCCTTTCCAGTGAATGTCATTTGCTCATTATCATGCTAAAACGAAAATAGGATCAAATGAATAAACTCTCACATAGGGAGTGTTTTCTAAAGTACAACTTCAAGCATGTCATCAAAAGTTTTAGATTTAATTCGAAATGTCAATCTATCAAACTCACAAATTATATTATATTAATGTCCAATTAGTTACTTTTGTTATTGATGGTATTGTAATGATGGGTTATTGGTTGTATGATCATTTTCTTTCTTTATCGTTTATTATTTCTTCATAATTTCTTCAATAATTCATATAAACTTAATTCTACTAGAATGAAAGTACCAGCTGACTAACATTTAATATTCAGTCAGTTGGCCACTACTTATCTCCTCTAAAATAGCAGTTAAGTTGTTAGTAAAAGGATAGATTATTTAAGCAAAACTACCAGTTCAGTTATTATTCAACATAGCAATATATGTTATCAAATCAATTGTACCGTCATAAAAATAATCTTTAGAATTCAAAACACAAAAGTAATAATCATCTACAATTCAGTAGGTGCTAGAAGGAAAAATTATACAGATCATTCATGTTTTCTATAATTAGTAGCCGTAAGAAAAAAAGTTATATATTATATATATTATATTGAGACAAAGAACCAAACTAGGTTGGACAACCAAGCTGACAATTATAATGCGCTCACTAGTGAAACAAAATTTCTAGAGTACTGGTGAAAAATACTGACCAGTAGAGTTCAATCGTGATAAGTGTGAAGGGATTACCTATCGAAGACATTGGGAGATGATTGCTGAATATCGTGGATTGATTCAAGTGGGACACTAACATCGCAAAGTTCTGACCTAGTGGTTTAAATGTTAAGCATTTTCCTGCAAAATCCAAAGTACTGGACTTAATTCCTGGTTTCACGGTCATGGATTCACACCACTAGGAAGCTCCATACTAAGACGAGACGTCAGCACTACTTTTCCACGTTTTTTAGTGGTTGTATAAATTAAATCGGTTTGTCGCCTCAATAAAATTCAACAATCTCCGTAATCCCATACTGATGATAAATATATTATTAAATTATACCATAAATATATGAAAAGTAATTTTCTGATTACGTATTAATTAGAACTTACTTTCTTCGCCATACAAATCACATCATCAGTTGCATTGTCAGAAGTAGTTCGTTGTTTTTGAGGCTGACTTGTATTCATGTCTAAATTAGATTTCTCATTTAATTCGTTACATGACGGTAATAGATTGATAGTTACACCAGGCATAATAACTGTATTTTCGTCATCATCATCATATTCTTCTTTAATTGGTGTAGCTGGTGGCGTTGCAGTTTCTAAGATTGTATTAAAATCTGCACTTACATTACTTGCCTCTGTTGAAAATAATAAGATATGCGTATGTTTTCAATAAATATGACATATTACTAATGTAAATAGCCAGTTGTCTAAATATAATATTTATAATTTTATACCCACGTTAATCATCATAAGTACATAAACACAAGGACTTTGTGGTTGAAAATAATGTTACATAAAGCTTAAGTCTTTACAGAGTTATAGTTGTACTTTAGTCCAGTCTTAATTCTTACCTAAGAACAAAAAAGGGGTACAAGTTAGAAAAACAGATACCAAGAACAAAGCCGTTGTTAAGTCAGTATATGTAAGGCCGTTTGTTTTTTCCTGACCGATATTTTTCCTCGATTTTCTTATCATTTTATTACTCATTATAACTGGTTTCGCTATGAATGTGCTTTAAAGAGGTGGTTGGCACTTAGTAGTTAGAAATATAACATTTACTTAAAGATCAACTGGATATAGAGAGAAAAGGGTAGATTTATAAGATTTTACAACATATATGGTTGCTTTTTGAATAAGAATCATTTGATAAGTTATCAATAAACATACGTTCGCAATCATGAAGATGGTAATTCAGTGGATTGAACTTAAATACAGAAAAAAACGTTAATTATTGACCAAATATCTTCCAGATAACAAAAGGTTCTATTAAGATTGGATGGAATTTGTTATAGGTTGTGAACATTTACTCAGATTAAATATCACACTGATTTAGCAATGACCGAATTATAATATTCACATCATCAATTATATAAAATATTTGATGGAATGATATTTCCCGGTTATTTGGTCATTTTACTTTATACAATGATTTTAGTAACAAATAGACAAAATTTCCGTAAATTAAATATTTCCGTAAAGTTAATTAAATCGATGTGGACGGAGTAATTAAAGTTGTGTATTGAATTCGGTCGACCTACTTTATGTTTTTAAATGTCATCTTCTACATACAGTGAAAGCTGTCAGAATTCACTTGGGTACCCCAAAACCTTGTACCCAGAAAATGTTTGTATAACCTCTATCCATTACTTGGGCACTCTTTGATTTTCATTACTGTGCATTTATTGGCAGATTAGTAAACCCAAATTTTATATGTACTTCTTTTTGATGGTGTCATCTTTTCACATTTTAATTAACGTTTTTTGGTCATACGTCAAACACATTCTTACTGTCGTTGAAGAAAATCGATTTAATTTGTTAATTTCAACTCTATGTGATAGATTTTTTCATTTAATTAGTGAAGAACATTTGTAGCTCAGAATATGGATGTTGGAAGTGTATTCTTTTCCGTGCTGAATGATTTAGTCGTGAAGCCTTCAGCTATAACGAACACCATGTAGAATAAAGTTATTGCCCTCTCCATCTACATCTACATGAGCACCAACCAGCTGTTAAATGCTACAATATAACTTCGCTTGTGTTAGCGTATGTGGACAACTGTGAGTATAAGTTCGGCTGAAAAAATATCAAATTATTAGACAAAGGACACAAGAGGAAAGCCACATATATTTTAAAAGCCCGGTATTCTAGTCAATCATGAGTCAATAGACTAATCTGAATCAACCAAATCTGTTAGACCACAAGGAAAAGGATTACCAAGTGCGAGGTCAGGGATCAGTCAAAACAAACATGTACATGACAACTCTAACATTATGGACAATGACAAATCAAATTCCAGGTCAATAGAAAAAGATTTTAGTCAATTAGGAAAAAAAGTTTAGTACCTTACTTCTCTTCAAAACACATGCTGATGATATTACCTTTAGGACAATGGAAAATTCACAATTAAGTCATTCAGCTCAGAGTACACAATACCTTCAAGTTTTAAATGGTTTTTAGACATCTGATAATTTTATTCTACGTTTTAAATGTATTCTGTTTCAAGTGTGATTTTTTGATAAATAAGCAACAATATTTCCATGAATGTTGCACTATTAGTAGTCATAAAGTACAATAAAAGTACTAACAATCCAGCAGAACAATAATCAAATACAAAATTTGACGAGAAACAAAGAAAAAAACACTGGGAAAAATTATTTTTATTGAATTTCAAATCATACTTTTCTTCATAAATTAATCATTATCATTCGATGCATCTTAAATTATTGAATTATTGCATCACTTAACAAACTTAGGAAATTGGAAACTATGAAAACATGGTTTATTTCACTTTCGCTACACAACCTCGAAGTATGGCTTTGTAGTTATAACATTTGTTGTTCACTTATTCAATCTTGAGATCGAAATCCCGTTCTATAGGTTTCAAATTTGGCAACGAATTAGTGTGGAACTTATCCTCACACCAATATCCGCATAAAAATTAAACCTCAAAGCTGTGCTTGGTTAATAAGTTGTAGTAAGGTTTTATTAATGCATATAATGGTAAATTCTACTCATATATATATATATATATATATATATATATATATATATATATATATATATAAAGTTTCAAAAAATCATAGACGTTAAAAGGTTAAATTCTATTTTCTGTAAATAATTATCAAATAAACCATAAAGTACTAAACAATTTAGTAGAAATAAACACATAAGTAAAATAATCTAACATGCATTTATTCTACCAAGCTAAACCAACTAATAAATCGGTATATTCATGCAAGAATACAAAGTAAAATGAGTGAAATAATGAAACTTCAGACGTTTTGTGACTTAATTTAAGCCACCTCTTCAAAGAATAAATTGATACCAAGAGTATCAAAATAATCCAAAAAGGTTCTTAAAACTGCAAAGAAATGGGAGTATCTGAAGCTTTCCATTTATTGCAAAATCCTTCTACTCTTGATAGAAAAGGTCTTACTAAACATTCAATTAAAACAATTTATTCAAGCTACCATACGTAATTTTGTAAATGTTTCACAATATTATTATAAGTACAAATTTAACTCTACTTTTACCCACATTTTTCACACCCATTAACAAACACAAATATATAAGCATATATTATAAATTTATCTTGACCGAAGTGACATGATAGTGACTGAATCGCACTTGTGTTTTGACTGTTATACTCGTACTTTGTTGCTTAGTACTATTTATATTTGTTTTGACTTAATCTGTTTATTTATTCATTCTCCAAAGAAGCGGTTTACACTGAGTCACGAAATGGCAGGAATTGTATTTTCTACTCAATGGGATATTACAAATAATCTATTATACTTAATACTTATGATAATCATTTGTGGAAATTCTGTCAGCCGTAATTTTGATTGTGAGGCATGAACTAACTTATGAAAATCAATAATGAGAAATTTTTAGCGAATACTACGCTAATTTCATGACATTTCAGATTGTATAACTATTTTTTGTATTTTCTATCATCCACTTCCAGATGATCATTATATATATCAGCACTTCTCATAGTATTAGTTTACTTGTCAGTCAATGTTTTATGAATACGATAATTATAGGCTTTGGAAAGCTAAACGATAATAATTAATCATACGTACTACCCGATGCGGACATATATGGACGAGAATTCAACTGATATGAAATAAGCAACCAAAGAAGTCCTGAATTACTATGAAAATCTATAAGTGGAAAACTTGGATCAGTAATAATAATAATAATATATAAATCAGTTTTGTGATGTTCAGATGAACTAATTTAATTTCAAATGTAAAGTGAATAGTTTATTACGATTAGACGATATATTTCTTAGAATCACTGAAATATTCAAAATTCATAAGATGCATAAAAATTAGATTTTCTGTTTTTTTACTCAATACGTTTACTGAATAAATTGTGCATAAGTCGTCAGTGCTTCCTGCTTTGTTTAAATAACATCGACTGATCATACATCTTTTGTGTGCTTTTATATGAAATCAAGTGAATGACTAGTACATTAGTACCAGGATTATAAAAAATAACTTGAATAAACAGTGCATAAAAAAGTTTGGTAAAGATGTCTATATACATGCATAAAAATATGGAAACCTCACGCACACACATGCATGCATCCATTATTACATATATACAATCATTCTTCCTAATTTTGGTGCAATCCGTGGCCGGAAAAATAAATTGGGATACTCATTTGATGACAACTTTCTCTGTTACTATAGATGAGTTATGATTTTACTAGCTAAAATAGTCACCATAAAAAATAGGAATAAGCTGATATCTACACAATTTAAATAAAAAGAATAAAGTTGTTGTTCACAAGCTAAAATACAGACGCTACAATATGCATAGGAATACAATTTATCGGTTAAGACAATAATTAAAAGGTGTTACATAAAATAATAGTGCTATTCAGTAAATGTTAAGGTGAAGTAATTTAATCACTACTACTACTATTATTATTACTACTGACAATCAAATAAATGTATCATACCGGTTGGTAATCCTGAAAGTCCTGTAATAAACCAATTTATTTTAATGAGTAAATATACTTGTAATAAATCAATATTGTGTGTAAACAAAGGTCATACTACTTAGTACGGGGAAATTTCAAAATGTTGTGTATGAGAAAGTGATACGTTCTGATTGTGCATAGTGAATTTTATAAAAAAGCATGAGTCAGATTTACAATGTTATTTCGGAGAATTGCAATTAAAACTGGAACTTTATTAATTAAAATATACATTTGTACTTACTTTTCTACTTAATCTTTCAGTCTTGATTTTTAATACTCATGTAAACGTTTTACTATGTTACAGGACATGAACAACAATCACACTAAACTAAGACTGTTGTAATTTGAAAATAACTTTTACTGAGGAAGAATAGCACTATTGTTTTATCGACAGCATTTTGTTATTCACAGAGGTAGAAATTACTACCATTTCTGGTAATCATCTATTAAACAATCATTAAAAAATTGATGACTGTCCACAATATGTAAAACTTGAAATTCAATACCTACACGTAGGAATATCTTTTCAAAGAATCTGTGAAGACCATGCATACGTGTACAACATTTTCAGGATTAATTATGTGAGAAATGTAAACGGTAAACAAAAACGATGGCTTTACTTTAAGGCAATAATATTCATTTATCGGCGTTAAATAGTGAAAATAGGAAATAAGTTCTTAAATTTGAAACCTAAGTTTATAACAAACCGTTTAATGAGTTTCATTTCATATCTCGTTTCAAATAATGTTTTGAAGCAATTTCAAGATTTTCAAACAATCATTATACGTCTTTTGTAATTAGTAGAGTGTGTTTTGGAGTGATTTGTATTTTCGTTAGTTATATCTTACTAGAGATAAGGTACTCGCTACGCCTTTTGATCTACATCAGTTGCAGTGTTTTGGATGCTAACGTACGAAGAGTTTTTATTAATTGCTTATCTTTATTCTATCCACATTATCAACTATTTGAGTGATATGTCTAGGTTGTCTAGATATAATTTCTAACACAGAATAATATCATCACTAGAGGCACTAAAATAAAATATGATAAATGAACATTAGTTCACATATCCACTCATTTAATAACTTTAAATCTAGAAATTCAATTCATTGTTCAATAGTTTCAGAGGAAAATAAAAGTTTACATGATAAAGCAAAATCATTCAATGGAAATAAAATTATTAACCTCTTAATCTCAGCTGTGAATTAAAGGGAGCAATTAAATCTTCATTTGGACGATCTCGGCAAACATGAACGTGTGAATCCAAAGTGTTTAGAACAATCTGTATTAAATATTCTATCATACCCCTAGTTCCACCAACGACGTTTGATGGTGATGAAAAAAGATTTGTGTTTCCTCCACCCCCTCCAAGTAGGTTGGAGGGGGTGAACTGATATGAAGCAGATGCATTAGTAGCATTACTACCACCACCACTAGTACTGACATTGCCACCTCCAGGATTTAGTCTATTACTGTTACTTCCAGCGCCGGATGAATTTCCAGTTGCGTTATCCAATTGTAGTTGTGTTTCACTTCCTGAACTTGTTTTGTGTGCACGACTGATGTTATTACTGTTTGTATTGCTAGTGAATGTTCCAACTCCTCCAGTTGTATTATTGGGTGGGTTAGAAATATGAGAAGCCACTATACTTGAACTATAGGAGATAGCGCTGGAAATATTTGTATTTCCGGTAAGATTGCCACCTGGTGTATTGTATTCATACTGGATTAGAACAAAACAAGAAAATAAATAATGTTTAAGTTTGATCTTCTAACTAAACATTATGAAAAATTTGACTATCACTGTTCTGAATTAAGATTCTAAACACTGATCAGTAAATATTGACGGACAAGAGGATGTTTAGTATGATAATTTATTTCAGTGATCTTATAAAACTTTTCGGGGAACTCTTAATTTACTGTGCAATATAATAAAACTTCTGCTGGCAGACATTCCACTTCCGACTATCTGTATATACTACTTATATCTGTTAGAATAACTAGCATGCACCATAGTAGGAGTAGCAACATTATGAATAGTATAAAAAACACTCAACTAAGATAGTATGAATGAAGAAGAATGAATTCATGCAAAAAAAATTCTAAGATAATTTTAAAAATCATGATTTAACGGGAAGCAAAAAGTGAGTACGACTAAGTCTGAGTGATTTCAATCAAAGTTTCTAATCAGTGATTATGACAACAACAACTGTATAAAATTCGATTAGTATTTTAAATTCATTTATTCTTCTTTAATAAATGTTTCTCAGTATAAAAACATAAATAACATTCATGTATAAGATTTAATTATTCAGTAAAGCAGCTATGTATATTACAGCACAAACGAATAATTTACAAATGTTTGTTGAATATTTATAATCGTTATATAATGAGGTTTAAAACAGATTAATTATTTAATTTATAAATTAGAATTTAAGTTCTATGAGACTGTTGAAAATGTTTTCTCCAAAAACACCTTCAAATTAAGGTGAATAACGAAATTAATTATATTGCCCTTCTAAAAAGTTTGAACTGATTGTGGAAACACATATTTGACTAATTAAGATTGGCTTAGTAAATGCGTTATTATATTAGTTAACTAATTTATGAAATACAATAAATATTTGACTGTATCACGACAGCTAGCAATCTTATATACATCACTATGGCTCTATACTAAAATATGTAGCTAATAATAAGCATAAACTCAGTACCATTACATCAAATGGTAATGTATTATATAATAATATTACAAATTCATAAGGTTTTCTGGAAATAATCGCAAATAGTTAACAGAAATAAAAGATGAGTTTAATGAAATGATTATTATTCAAGGATATTTAGTTAATAAATCAATGCATTGGAATATGTACTTAGAAATTGCATAACATAATATTACAGCAGCAACAAAAAGTATTTACATAAAAGGATATTGATGAAAGATTGTGTAATAAGAGATTGACAACTTACTATAAATTTATCTATTATGATGGCCACGTCGAGAAAAGCGATTTTACAAATTCCCTATGAGTACAAGTATAAGGTTTGTTTAGGTTGATGCCGACAGCTTCACATTTAAGTAAAAGGCGTATGCGTAAACTATATTGTATATTCTGTGAGGATCCGGTGGATGCGTTGCTTACCTCCGCTTCTTGTTAAGAGTTAGAGTCAACGAATAATATCCATTAGTAAGAATCTGGGTCATTGGTCATTGTTCTTAATTAATTATTGAGGTGTCGGTAGCAGTATTCGTGTTGGTTAAACAGATTAATATTTTCACGATAATAAAAACAACTGATATAAAATTTGCTCACTTTATACAGAATGACTAAAAGTGTTTGAAGCCAATGAAGCCTAACTTGTGGTTCTAATAATCTCAAAGTAAATGTTGGCGGTTGTGTATCGGTAGCATAACGTTGAGGTGATGCACAGAATTGTAAAACGACTAGAGTTTGATGTAAAATACAACAGCCCATACTAAAATTACGATCGAGAACGCCAGCGACATGTGCCAAAAATGCATGAAAAACAGTGGAATTTCTAGATTTTTTGAGGATTCAAAAAAAGCATATAAAATAATTTACATTAGTATAAATCGTTTCATCTACAATATACAGGCCAAATATATGCATGAAGTGCATATATGATACAGATTCTCAAGTGTTTGTTACTTAGGAAAGAAATATTTGAATCAAAATGTTCTTTAATCTTTGATAAAATCTTTCTTAAAGTGATTGTTACTCCATTCATTCTTAATGATGTAATAAACAGGCTTTAACGGTTAGACTTTCATTCATTTGAGAACGAGCAACTCATAACACTTATTTTGGTCAGATGTTTATAATATCTAATTACCTCATTTGTGTGTTAGTGTTTGAATATGTGCAATTTTGAGATGAAAAATATATTCTTCTAGAATTCACCATATTTTCTGATATCAAACAATCGGTCTCGTAAACAGTAGTCACTTGAGCACGCCGGATCATTGTATTAGATCTATCGATTGACATTTTATTAATTCATTTTACCAATTAAAACTCATATCCACTTTATTAACGCTTATTCACAATGATAACGATGGGGATTAAAGTCAGTTGTTAAAATTATGATCACAAAAAATGAATGGAAATCGCCATATATTCGGTCAATCCAATCATAGATAGACCTCATCAAAATATTTCTAAAGGAGCCAAAATCCGAACAAATCTCGCAAATTATAAAATTCAGAGTGAAATTCAGTTAAGAAAGAGTGTAACACAGATAAGAAATTCAGTCCATGCAACAGTGTAGTGTTTGTGGGAAACGATGCCACAAAATCAATAAGGAATCCTAAAGTTCAACTAGAAAACCAATGTTAGAACTTCAGAAAAAATATCTAGTTTCACGTCTAGAATGTCTATTTTTGGTTTTAGCGCATTCAGTCGAGTTCACAGCACACCCGCCTAGTCAGCCTCCATATATTATTTATCAAACAAATTCACGAGAGGCATTGACGTTCTTGTTCACAGCTCAAAGATAATTTGGCTGATGTTCTCCTTAAATGTAATCTGAACAACTAGCACTTTCTTTAACAAGGTTGTCTTCTACGAGATAGAATCGTTGATCCTATGCCAAATCCTCCTCTTCTATCCGAGCTTGGGACCGGCAATAATCATAGAATGGCTACGGGGTGAGGAGACAATACTGCTTAATTTCGCTCTTTCTTTCATCAGACCAGTTGTACTGTACAGAGCTGAATCGTGGAGAACTACTACAAACATTGTCAAAAACGTACAGGTATTTATTAACGAAGATCTATACAAGATACTCCGGATGTATCCGTTGGATACTACCAGCAAAGACCCATTGTGTCAGAGAACAGACAAAAATCCAGCTGAAGAGGAAATTAGAAGACGTTGGAAGTGGAGAGGATATGCAATGCGGAAATAATCAAACTGCATCACGAGGCAAGCACAAACTCAGAATTTTGGAGGCAAAAGAAAAAGAGAAAGACCATAGAACACATTGCATAGGGAATTGAAGACAGACATTAAAAGAATGAACGCTAATTTGAAGCAAGTGGTAGGAATTACCCAGGACAGAGTTCGATGGAGAATGCTGGTGGGCGGTCTATGATACTCCACGACGGGTAATGGGCCTAAGTAAGCGAACAATAATAACCTTAAGTCAGTATATACCTTCACAAGGTCGGTTTCTTCTTAACAAGTTATATTCGATAAATTAGAGTCTAAGATACCTACCCCCGACCAATAGCGAGCTGCCAATATTTAAAGAATTTCCATTACTTTGACTACTTATGGAACTAATCAGCTATCATTCGGTGTCGCAATGCTCTTTATCTCGTATATGTCGTCCACTGATGTGCTTGCTTGAGAAAAATGTACTATAGAACTAGAATAAGGGATATGAATCTTTTGAAAAATGAAATCAATACTAGTCAGTACTAGTCTTTCTGGGATATGATTTCGAATATGTAAGGTAATTCCAATACACATGGGGCTTTCTCCACATCGTTACTAGTTTTTAGTTTGCGAGTAGTAATACCGAAGTGACTGTAATCTGAAGACTTTCACCATTTTCATAGCAAACATTTATGAGTGCAGTGAATGAAATCTATGGCATGAAGTTTTGCCTGCTGACCACAAAAAGGCAGTAACATTGATATAGTCAAAAACTGTTAACTTTGTCCGGAAACTTCGAGGCAGTAAGCTGAGATTTAGAATATTTTAGTTACAACAGGAAATATCACAGGCTCTACCGAATGTTAACCCTATCAACCCAATCAATGATATCACATATACTGTACCAGTGTAGTGTACGAAGACTTGGTGGATATAACCAATTTCTTGTTTACTGAAAACTATAGTGTTTTCTTAAAATATGAAAACCATACATTACATACACCATTTGCACAATATCGCAGTTGTCGTTTACATGCTTCATGATTGTCCCAATTATGTTCTTATCCCAATTATTCTCTGTTGCCTTTCTTGTCCTTCTCAATCCGACCTTTTGTTGGTAGGCACTCCAATTCTTAATTGTGCAAATACCAGACCAGTACCTTCCTCCCTGTATTAGCCAGAAATTGTCCTCTTGGTGTCATAGTTCACCAGCGAAACCTTTCAAGTGATGGCGGGTCGCTAGACATCATAATATAAGATAACAGGTTGTAGCGCACATCAGAAAATTTATAAATATTCCTACGCCATTCTGCCGATCGTTTGAAGGTAAAGTAAATCCGTTAGAATTCGAAGTTGCGACACTAATGTTTGGCAGAAACTACTATCCAAACTGTGATTGAGGGTTAAAAGGGTATATAGCGAGAAGGTAAAGAAGAGTTTTGTACGATGTTGATGTGGGAGAGAACCAGAGAATCTGAAATTTTAACGGACTACGCGAGGATTTACTGCTGAGCTGGATGCAGTATTAAAATACTTATACGTCTTGCTCGATAACCTCAGTTTACGACTTCAGAATAGACCCAACTGGTAATCTCTATTCACTTCAGTCTTAATGTAACTAACCAACATACAACAAGTACAGTATGAAACCTGTTTTATTGCACTAATTATTTTTATAGGTCACTACAAGTGATTTGCGAATTATTCCGTTTTGATCAGACATTTATGCAACTACAAAATTTCATTCGTAAAGTTTTTCTATATTTTCAACCAGTACTACTAAAAGTTCCTAAAGTCTTTATGATCACTGTAATAAATTGCTATTTTAACAGTTGAATTCATGATTCGATCTAGACTAAACCAACAATGAAAACCTAGATGCACTGGACTGCCGTTTCGTCCTAGTATGAGACCTAGCAGTGAGTATCCACTGCTATTATTTGTTATACAAAAACAACTCACCTCATTTTGTGTGGGGGTATATCAAATGAACCATCCGTATAACCAAGTAAGAATGCTAAATGTCTTTGTGCTTTGCTTAGAGCTTTTCTGTCTTTTAATTCGTCCCTTGATTTGTTTGCCATATTGTGACGTCCACTACTGACACTACCACCACCACTGCTTCCGATTCCACTGCCAACACCTCCGTCACCACCACTACTAGATCCGCTAGTTCCACCTGTAAAACTTTCATCCAGTTTTAAATCCAATTGAACTGTAGACATAAACTTGAGTAATAAACGAACCCATTGATGTAGTGTGTCACGTTCATCGCCGTCTAGATCTAATGCTTGTTGTATTGAACTTAAAAATTTGTTATTACTATCAACAAATTCACTAGCATGTAGACCACCTAATTAATAGAAAAAATGTGTTTGGATTTATTTAATATTACAAGTATCATTAACTACGGATGTAAATTAAAAACGGTTAAAATTAATTTTAGCGGTATATCTATTTAGGCTTTATTAATCTCACTGATATTCTGATAATCAACTCCAATAATCTTGAGATTAAGCAACTGAATTTATTCACAAATCAATCAACCCACCAATTATCGCTGTAAACATTACTATGTTATCAACAATAATACTGAAGTTTTCAAATAATTAGATATTTTCTTCAAATAAACTATACTGGTTAGTTTATCAGAACCAACATTAAAGTAGTAAGCTAGTCAATAACATAACATTGATGGTTTCGATTGTAAAAATTGATGGATAGAACTCAAATATACCGATGGACGCAATGGAACAGTGTCACCCAGTGATGACTACTCATGGGACTACATAATTTATTTAGGCCCCTGAAAAATTAGAAATTAAAGACAAAACCAATAACCAGTTAAATGGTTCTTCACATAACAAAAAACATCCTCATATACAAAATATAAACACTAAATAAACATGAAAAAATGTCATAGATGATTGGAGAAAAATGATCTAATCAATTAAGATCTAACTGCTAGACCTAGTCTTTGGGTGTCGTATCAATTTTTGGGGTAAAAGAAAACAGGAAACGATGCTAAACGTTTTTGTCTTTATACAGATTCTGTAAAGGATAATTGACTCAAATCGGGAGGCAAGAAATTTGTAGTTTCAACTGAATCGATAAAATATTCGATTCCATACTATACTTTGATAGCATTTTGATGAGAACTAAAGTATATATTATAATGAACAGTCTCTTTTTACAACATGACTATTCATTCAGTTATAATTAAAAGTTAGGTTTAATCGATTGACTACAGTTTTCTTATGCAAGAATGCAAAGTAGTGAGAATAAGCGTAAAAAGCATGTATATTTAGTGTCAACTAGTTGATTAAAAATTTGTAAAACATATGGTTATGATACCGGTTTCCACACTTGTATAAAGAGATAAGCAATAAGCGTATAGAAGAGACCACAAAATGTAGATGAGTATGACACTTGAAATATTCACTTAAACTAATTGATACGGTGGATTACGCTTATAATTTCAGAAAAAGATTGAAGTTGTAGAGATTGAAAATATATTGAGAAAACAAAGTTGACCTGAAAAGTAATATGCGTTTGTGAAAAATATTTTGTTCAACTTAATGGCTCATTTACCTGACTTGACTCTGTATTTAACGTATAGAAGGAGCCAATCACAACAGAATATGATTAAATGATAATAAGAAAGGAAAAAAAGTAAGAATTACAAGGATTGGTCAAAATGAATAGACATTTTTCTGATGACCTATATACTTTCACCATATTTTTAAAATGTATACAAGAAAGTGATTATTTTAGACGCTCTTTTCGAATTGAAACGAATTAAATAATTCTTTTAATTAAAAATTAAAAGATTTATACCTGTTAATAAACCACAAACAGATGATATTGATGGACGAGATCTTCTACCACCATGACTAAATCTAAAATGTGGTCTTTGTACGCCATCTATCATACCAGAATCTAAATAGAAAAAAAATGTAAACATATATATTTTTTATTTTAGCATGAAGAGATAATTTGTCTAAACTTGCTATCAATATTCTCAGTAACCACATCCATATTAAAGTTAATTCTAAGCAAGTTTTAATAATCTATCAATATTAGTCGCTAGTGTTAGTCATTGATTCTGATATTTGCCTAAGTTTAAAATATATGATGTTAATTGTTTAGTATCTTGAGTAGAGAATCTGAATGATTGGTATAACTGGAATGTAATTTAGCTATGCATGTAGTCCCACTCTGTAATATCATTTGTTTTCGTTGCTTTATTATTAACACAAATCAAAATAAATTTCGATAATGATATTAGAAGACGAAGATTATCGAAATTTATCAAAGGGACTAATTGTTTCAAAACAAATTGTTAAATTTTGTTCAGTTAAATGCTTTGTGCCTAAAAACATACAATTGGTGTATTGTAAGATTCATCGAGTTATTCCGATCATTTGAGCAATTTTAGATACGTTGACAGATAGACGTCTTCATCTGCCTGGTTGTTGTCAGTTATGAGCAAATCTACAAGTTCAAGATCCATTATGGTTATTCAGCTATTCTAATTCATATCAATCGACATTTCATCAACCTTTATTACTTTGGATATATTAATGCCAATTAAAATTAACTATGTTTATTGATGCTGTTTGTTTAGTCACCTATACAACTGTGTTACTTCACTAGGAAATCAATACTAAAGAAGGTCAAGATTAAATCGCAAAGCTTAAATGAATTTACTAAATAGGCCTTTTTGTGTTGCATTTGTGATGGTTGCATTTTTTTCGTAATCATATATATAATGTGATTATTAATAAATCTGACATGTCTACATATATATTACTGTGATCTATAAATTTACATATGATTTTGTATGTGTAAAACCGATTTAATTTAATCACCTGATCCAATCTGAATTGAAGGTTTCCTTTTTCCATCATTCTCATTTCTACATTCTTCTCGTATTTGTGTAGTTGAACCTGAATTAAAAATCAATGATTGTTGATTTATTTGTAATTGAGATTGTTGTGTTTGAGTAAAACTTCCAACTGTATGTGTACTGAATCTTAATGAATAAGCATGAGAGTTTAAACTGATTGACTTAATTCCAGAACTTTTATGAATTGCAAAAGCTGCGCGTTCAAATTGATTTTGAAAATGTTCACCAGTACGATGTGATCCATTTAAATCTGTCACTAGAAAGCGAAAATAAAATTAAACGATGTTTATTCAAAAAATATATCGACTACAGTTTCATCCAACTTCGAAGAATAATAATAAACCTTGTCTTTATAGTTACTCCCCATTATAAAGTTTAGTGAAGTAGGGACAATAATGTGAATTCTTTTTTTTTTCGATTCTTTTCAACTGCTTAGTCCTATAATTTCATTGAAATCATGAACTCATAATTATTGTCCATTATTAGTCTATACCTATATATCAGAACCAAATTTAATCAACATCAATCTGATATAAAGAAATATTTAGTTATTTTTTAGTATTATTAATATTCTTGTTATACGCTACAGAAAATTTACAAAAATGAATTTATGTTTTTCTGACACATTTGTTGTTCGTGCTTTACTCAAATGTGAACTAACTGATTTGATTTTAAAGAATGTACAACGATCAAGGACTTATTCATTTAGTATATTTTGTCCCAAATTACTGAAAAACGATTAATTGACAATACTCAGGCTATAAGTACTGAGAAAATACCTATTTGTGTCCAATAACTACTCTATATAAACATTTGCTTAGAATAAAAATAAAACGAGCATAAGACTGAGTAAGTTGTGCTGATTTATCGGACGATATCTAACCAACCAAGATGTTCTCTGAGTCATAATGTATGATGGACCAAAATCCTAAGTACGGAAACCTTTATCTGGTCGATTAACATTATAAAACATTGTTATGCAATTTAGTTACCTCGTACTTCCTCCTACCAAAAATATTTCATGAATTCTTACCGGTGTACGTTTAAAACATCTTTAACTCCGTTCACTATACTCCAGATCAAATTAAAAAATAACTGACGTAAGTGAATCACCGCAGTACACTAACTGATCTAACTAATTCTATTTATTCCCAGTTATTCGAAAAAAGCATCCAAATTTATTAAAGAGTGATTATCATAGAATGATTCGGTATTAAAAGGAAACCATGGTTTGGTTGAAAGTTGATGAATCTACCATGCTTTACATGAATACTCCAGCAAGTCAACAAAAATAATCACGATAGTCACATACTGTTAATAAATTAATCATTTTTTCTATCCACCTAATGTAATGAACATCAATTAGGTATGGAAATTAAAAACATGATATGAATGTTAGATAATGTGGTATTTTCATCTACATGACTTTGAAAATTTACATAGAATGGTTAAATGTATTGTTGGAGTATGAAATTAGTACCAAAAGTAATACACGTAATAGTAAAGCCATTCTCTAAACACAAACATTTCGATTAAGCGCACAGTCTGATGTGAGAAAAATACTATCAAACCTTACCTGAATCGATATCAACTTGACCAGGTGAATTGCCTAATTGAGCCTGTATAGCTAATATACCAAAGCGATTAACAAAAAAGTCCCATGTAAATATTTCTCTGTTCGGTAGACTGCAACTGAGTTGGTGCATGCGTTGTAAAATAAGACAGCGGTCAGAAATTACAGTATCGAATTGAAATTCTAAACATTGTATTGCACACTACAAAAAGACGATCAAACACAAAATCAGAATAAATTAAAGCAATAAAGCAAACAATTGTCATTAATTAAAGAAAATCCAGAGAAGACAATTTCTTTATATCATTTACTATAGTTGTACAGTCGAATTCACAGAGGTTTATTAGGTTTTTGGGTCTAAAGAAGATTACAAGTCGATCACAACAACAAAATATTCTGAGATTTTAAGTACAAAAATGAGGTTATGTAAATATTTAGAGAAAAATGAAAATAAGTTAAGGATCAGAAATACGAAAGGCAATCGTCTACTTGACAGAAATGAAAAAACGCAAACGTCATCAAAACAATTGAATAATAATTACCAAAAACTGTAAGAGAGTGATGATAACTGATTACGGATTAAAATGTATATTATGAAGATAAAAATATCATAATAATAAAAATAATAAAAATTTACTGGGACGAGTGTTAGGGCAAAAGAAGTAATAAAGATTGTGCATGTTGCTTTCGCATCCAAACTTCAGGCTTCACTTCATGAATTGCCGATACCCGAGTATTTCACGTCCCTTCGACTTTACTGTCCTTTTAACTGGGTAGATTATTTTTAACAAGATATGTTCATTAATTAAGAACAAAGATAAACCCATCAGTGTATTTAATAATCAATCAGCTAGACATTCATTTGGTTTAGTTATCTTGCATTTATTCACCATTTTAGGTTATTGGAATTTAAAAATGAAACCGCATCTCATCAGCTATAATTTGATACACTTTAGTTACCAGCATAGCACTTCTTATGGTCTTTTATTTTATTTGTTGATGTACTGAAGGAATTCTTTAATTCCAATTACATAAAACAGATCAAGATAAAGGATGTTTCTTTTTCTTGGTTTCTTCTTAAACTTGTGTACCTAACATTAATATCTTCATTTCTTCGTACTTATTTTTTATATGCTTATGCAGTTTGTTATCATTCATTTTTCTCCATTTAATACTTTAAATTTCTTAATGATGAGATTGAAAATATTCATTTTGTTTAATTGATTCAATTCAGATTTTAATGCGTTGTCATTTTTTTCCGGTTTTACAAGTTTTCTTTAACTAAATATATCACCTAAACTTTATCTAATCTTTATTCAAATTATCACAGAACATTATTACTTAAATTTCCTGATGAGATTCAGGTTATGGAAGTTTATGAAAATGAATGGATGAGTAGTTAATTAGTAAATTGTAATAGTTTGAAGATCCCTGTTGTGTATCGAAAAATCAATGAAAATTAAAGTAAACAATTGTTTTCGATAATTTCATCTCCAGACTCTAAAGATATCAGTCCATAACTAATGTATTACAATAGCTAAAATAAGACGCGCATAAGTAATTGAATTAGGCAATCTATTGTGTTAGAATAGCGAAACTATGCATCAGTTACAACTTGAATCTGTCTAAAATGTGTAAATCATGAATTTAAAAAGGCCTTAACATTGCATGCTGGTCAACATGTATCGGAATATTTTTACAAAGGAGTCATAAGACATGTTAACATTATCGTTCTTTGGCAACTGGTAGATAGTGAATACCACATTAGGATAGATGAGGCCGCAACCTATGAAAAATTTCGCTGATTTACCATACAGTATTGCCTAGTTTACTTATTTGTGTTAACCTTATTATGTTTATTGTAATCCACTAGTTATAGATTTATAACTGTAGTTTGATGTTGAAATGAATGAAAAAAATCTTTCACTCAGAAACTCGCCGTTGATAAATACATTTAAATAAATCTTCAGATTGTTATATTGCAGATGCGTGAATTATTAAAACTTTTTATTACTCACAGCTAAAGAAATATTATTTAATGATGCAATTTGCATTGAAGTATATTGTGCCACCGTTGAATTAGGATCATCTAATGAACCAATTAAACAACAAAATGCATGAGCTATTGCACTTTGAATTAGTGGATGACGATTATTACTTGAATGAGCAGCCACTTTATTGATCGGCTCCGTATTTGTTCCACCATGTTGTTTCATCCCATGACCACTAGGTAGATTTTTACGATTTGGATTAAATTTTGTACGTCCCATATGTGTAATACCAGTTAATCGACTGAAAAGATTTATTGCGCCCGAACTTGCCATACTTCCGCCAGATAATAAATGATTAAGTTTATTTCCAGCTGAACCACTGAAACCACCGGCTAATATGCAATAATCTAATTCTCTAAGTAATACTGATACTTTTTCTATTGCATCAAAACGAATTCTCCAATCACAATGTGAAAAATCATGTTCAATTAATTTCCAGAATACATTAAATCCACCAGGAAATGATAAACAGTGGAGAACTAAGGGAACTGTCCAACTTGCTAAATATGATAATTCCGATTTCAGTAAACTCCAGAAACTATTATTATATTTTAGAAAAAAGATAAAACAACAGGAATAATTGTAGGCTTATTTATAAAAATGTAAGTTTTTTTTAACATGGAAGCATTATTTATTATTAGCGCATTCATGTGGTTCAATTCCTTGATCTCAACAATAACAACTGTCAAATTATAAGCAATGCCAATAAACTGATGGAAATCTTAGAAAAATGCAAATAAGCGAACAATAATGTTTGAATGGGATCAAAATAAGATTGTATAACACGTTCCGTAAGTTATATGATAGTATGGTGTGAGCTACTTACACCCACATAAATAGTGTATAACGATGGTCTGGCATAGAATGTATTTCAGCGGAAGATCGAGAGGGAAAGAACGATCACGGAAAGCAATTGGTATGAAAATGCATGAACAATGAAATCTGAGACAATGGACTGAGATTTGCAAAAGGAAAAGTCAAGTTTGAGACAACTGATTGATATTTTGCAAATTAACTATTCACTGTATGGTTATCAGATTTTAGTAAGACGTTCTCTAATGTTTGGCTGACCCCACTTGTGTTCTTGCTCGCTACAATAGTACTTCAGATGCAGTGTTTTCTGTAGGAGTATTTGAAGTTACGAAAGCGAGTAAATCATGCAATTTTTGAGCAACTACTGTGAGAAAAGAATAACTGTATAAACAATACTTTCAGCGACGATGATTGTTCTATCATATAAGATGTCGTCCCGTTGAAGTGGAGCACCAAGAGCAATAGGTTCTTGCAACTAAAGTATTTATTTCAATCCCTGTTGAAAGAGACGGTTATTGATATATCCTAAAAATTCAAATATATACTCATATATATGACACTTAATGAATCCATCATCATAATTATTGTCAAGCTTTCGAAAACATGTTTGTATTTTAATACATTGTCAAGATTTTTAGACAAATTCTAAAACAATCCTTTAAAATACGAAACTTATCCTCATTAAACTAGAATAAAAAATAAGTCTACTCTTCAGCGATATTTCATAATGAATTTGTTCATACTGAATAAAATAAAACCTCCTTATTTAAACAGTATACTACATTTGGTGTGAACTTAGAAGGTAAATAAAAGGAAAACTTCACAAACAAGTAGCGACCAGAAACGTGTTCAGTACTTTCAATTTTCAGTTGAGTTGATTAAAAAGTCTTACTTCCAGCATTTTAATATTTATTTTAAATCAAGAGACCTAGCCTAATAAATCAATACATAATTAACATAATCCCATAAAAAACTATCATTTTAACCACATTCCCACATTGGAAAGGGCTTGGAATTAAATACGTTTTTATTATGAATAAAATTGGTGTTATACCCCTAACATTATCCTAATATTTTGTGCAACAACTAACCCTACATTAACGAGACAAAACAAAACAAAATATCATTGTCATCAAATTTCCAGAAAACAGACTTTCAAAATGTTTGTGTAAAGTATTACTCGATTAAAAAAAGCAAAAATCTACGTCAAGCTAAAATTATTTAAGTTTACTAACCTTGGGATTAAATGAGAATGTATTAAATAATAAACAAAATTTTTCTGTGCTTTTGGTGTCGCAGTACAATTTCGCGATGTTAACGTCTTTGTACTTTGTAATAGCTGTCCTTTAGTTGATGGATCTTGACTAGTCATTTGACTTGTTAGTTTACTTCCAGTTAATCCTATTAGACTGCTAATACCAAGTGGTCCTGTTGTTGTGGTACTCACAATATTTGCTACACTGCTGGTGGTTACTCCTCCAGCTGTTATTGTATTAGCTGATATTGATGCTGAACCGCTGGATCCATTAGTAAGCAATTTTTGTTCTTCTTTTTCTGCTTTTGTTAAAATTTGTCTCAGTGCATCACCAATATGACACAGATATGCTAGGCATTCTAAAATACATTGCAATACGACAGGATCACGAAACGTTTTCAGTTCGATAACTGTTTTGTTTACAGATGAAACTGAAGAACAGGAAGTCGGATGTTCTTCTTTTATTGTCACTGGTGTTGTCTCTCGAAATAAACTATCCGGCTCCCTATTCAGGTCTCCATATTCAACGTAACGACGCGTACCTTCCTTCACAAATCGCGTCAATAAATAGGTAAGACGCAGTACGGGAGGAATGGAACATAAATCTTCAGAAGATGGGAGTTTTTCAGAGGTTTCAGTAACGTCTGGTCCAGGAGCTAAAGATTTAATTTCTGACGTTTCGTTGTCACCAGAATCACTCCAATCAGTATACTCTGAAATAAATGATTGAAAAATTTTGATTTCGTAGGATGGCCTTCAGATAGAGAGGGAATTATACATACTAGGTTGAAAAATATAAAACTTTAAAATAAAGGGAATCGTAAGTCGTTCTGTGTAGCTTATATTACCTTATTTTGGAATATGATGTTATAGCGACTCACGTGCAAATGGGTTTATTCTCATTTAACTCAGTTAAGCCCTTTTGCTAACTTATTTAGCGGACAAAGCCATCCGCAATATAACAATTCATTGTACCCTTATTATTATTTTGTGCTTGTATGAAATACGCATGCTTGAATATTGCTTACGGCCTATGCATTTATTCACTCTGCTAGTCTCACTACTAACCGCTTATTTGATTCGATTATTCATTAATTTCACATGTTATATATATGTCCATGTTATTCATATGGCTGACTCTGCTTTCTCGCTCGCCTGATTGTACTCGATTACTTACATTCGCTCAGTCGCTCGCTTGCCTGTTTGCCGTTCGACACAACTTTTAATGCTCGTTTAATGCATCTGTAAATTTTGGACATCTGTGTGTGTGGTCTCGAAATAAACGTAATCAACGCTTCGTATTCGCCTTCTGAATAATATACCGTTGGGGTTAAATAGAACGGTTATCAAGACGAATTGTATACGAAGTTTAAGGGATATATCGAATACCGACCACCACAATTTTGAATAGTACTTGAAAAACACTATATTATATAGAATTTGTAGAAATTAAAAGAAAATTAAAGTGAGGTAAAGATGTATCGATATAACAACGTACCTGGGAAATCTACCACAGCTTTTAATGCATCAACGGTAAAATCAACTGTAACTTTGGGAGTTGGTCTTATTGGTGCTAAGTGCTGACATATCAATCTAGCATAGTTAAACCACGTGAGCATATCTAAACAGTCAATACATTCACTAGCATTATCTGTTTGTTTGTTTAGATTAATTTGATTAATATTATTTTCATCATTATTTTCGGTCATATGGGCTGAAGTCGTTGATATTGGCGGTTTCATTTCTGATTTGTTTTTAGATTTTGGTAGAATACAAGTTTCTAGACCAAGGCAATGTAGATTTCTTAAACCTGAACTTGTTGTTTGATCGTCTGTCTCAGCAACATTACCCCAGTACAATTCCAACATATCACCTAAAAGCCATATTAATAATTGCGGTGTTTCTTGCGTATAACCAGAATGTCCAATTGGATCCAAAATTTTTAGCTTTTAATTTTGATTAAAAAACATTCATAAACAAAAATGTATCATTTAATTGTTATGGATAGTCAATGGATATTGAAATCTATAGATTCATGAAAACACTAACAAAATTATCCAATACGTTAAATCAAAACAAGGAGCAGAAATGAAGAACTTTAAAGCCGACGTTATAGAGGTTGCAGAGAAAATATTCTATGTATGAATAAATTACCAACCGTATGTCTACGTTCGCAGATATAAAAATATAATCAATGTATCACCAGGCAACTATTATACTACTTTTATTTATTGTGAGCTTGCTTCTCTGACATTTTAATGAATTTCATAAAACTTTTGAGTAGACGAACAAAATTATGTTGATCACTGCAACAAACTATAGGTTTTTGGTCGGAGATTGAGAATGTTTTGTAGGATCCAAGAATACGTCTTAACACATCAATGAAATACATAAATCACTGAGGCGAAAACATTGAAAAAATTTTTATTTCCTACTCACTAATTATCATTATTGTTGAAAATTAAGAATATTAATATTATGGGTATAAATTTTCTACTCAAGCAGTAAACTCAATATTTTATTCAGGCTGCTTTATTTTAGGTGTATGAAAGATAACTGCTTAGTTTGTTCTATTTTTGGTTTGTTCAATAACTCTTCTGAACGGCGCTTTTACCCATTGATAATCATCTGTCCTCAGTTTTCAAGCAGTCGAGGTTACAAACAGTGTGCAGAATTTTTAAGAGGGATCACTACGAAATTATAAAAATAGTAATACACCTCCAAAATAAATTGTCAGAGGAATCTTAAAATAAAAAAAGGATGACCTATGACGTTACTATTTTATGCAAAAAGTCCAAATACTTTTTGTCAAGTGTGAATATTTAGCAAAACTAAAAGTAAAGAGGTTGAATACCTGTCGATATGCAATATCTAGCATATGTGTTAAACAAGCAGTGATTCTGTATTGATTAATTTGAGAATTATTTTTTTTAATCTCTTGATCAGTTGTTAATTCACGTGTATCTTTATTTTCAGATTCCTGAGTTAGTTGTTGTGCATCATTTTCGTCCGTAATATTTTGTTGATTTATCGATTTATTTTGCAAGCTTTCATCGGTTTTAACATTAGACAATAAAAGATTTTGACTTTTTAAATTAGAATCATTTGTTACCGAACATGAATTATTTTGATGAATATTAGATTCAGTCATTGTAATTTGTTTTGTTGGATATTGTTTATTTGCTTTGCGTGAATTGTTGGATGTAAATGATTTAGAAGTGTTTTTATCATCTGCACTGTAGGACAAAAGACTTTTTGTTTCGTCCAATGTAATATCGTCATCTTCTTCACCTTCCACTATATATTCGTTCTCATCTGATAACAATTGGTTATCAATCGGTGCAGGGTTTCTATCTACATTTTCGTCATCTTCATCTACTTTTGAATCTTCTAGGAAAATATCACTCTCTTCATCCTGTAAACGATCTTCATGAACAACATTTTCTGACAAAAATCCATTTTCGTTTAGCCAATCAGCTTCGCTAGCAGTGTTCTGACCCAATGAATCATCATATTCATCCTGATCTGTCAAGTAGTCATTATCTGACTCATCATTTGTAGGTAACAATAATTCTAAAAACAGTGATGCTACACCAGCTGCAAACATTGTAAGTAGTTCTTTCATAGGGATCGGAACCTCTACAATGGTTAAAATCTGAAAATTGAAACATGTGATAATAAACCCAACGATTACTTTTTAGAGAATGAATTATATCTGTCTCACTCTCAAAGTTCTAATGAGAAGAGACGATAATTAAATATCAAACAACTTAGGAGTGAGATGGGTATCGCCACTAACAGAAAATGATAGTTAAGTAGTATATAACGAATCTAAAAAGTGGGAAGAATCATTGTATGCTAGCTCAGTAGGCTGAATTTAACGAAATCAGCATGAATGGCGTTAGTACTCAGTTATGATAGTAGAAAAGCACTATGAAAGCCTATTTCGTTTTGGAATCTGAAATAGTTTTGAGATGCAATAAATTCTTTAAAGGTTTATGCACATCCCGATATATTACATAGTACTTTACACGACCAACATTTGGTAAAAGAAAAGCACTAAAACCGCTGTTTTTTTATTTATTTTTTCCGACAAAGGATTTCCTTCAATAAAGCTAGAAAGTCATTAGTCGTTAATAAAATAAAATAATCGTATAATTCCGTTGATTGTTTTGTATTTGTTTCGTAATTCAAGCAAGGTCATATTGAATCCCATGAACAGATTTTAAAGAAAACAATTTATTTGAATCACAAATCAATATTTTCAGAACAAATATATACAGCAAATTAAGAGTTGAGACTGTAATCTTTGTAAAACAAATCATGTGAATTTTCTTGTTGTGGACTTCATTATCTATAGTGATTCAATTTATTTGATATAACTGTTATTAGACATGGCAAGTTACCAGTCAAAGCGATCAAAGGACAATGAGACGTGTTTAAAATAAGGGATTAGGATGTATGAAAATATGTATACTATTTATGTTATTTGAAATAAGTTAAAAAGTACTTTTATTTAGATTTCTATGCAGAACTACTGCCAATAATATTCACACATCGAGTAAATAACTATTAGGTTAAACACCGTTTGCTTTCAGATCATTTCGAATAGAATTTCGTAGCTTGTTTAAAACTCTTTACATAAGGAATAACTTCCTCGTTCTCATATCCTTTCGTCAAACTTAGTTTTACCAATTAGTATCACTAATATTACATTTTTAACTGATGTTCTAACATCTTTGTTTCTTAGCTGTCATCCAAAATTATCTACTTTGTTAAGAAATTAGCCATAGTATTCATCAAAACTATTTATTTGCAATGTCAACAGCGGCTTTAGTAAAACAGCACAAACACAGAAGTGATAACAATCCAGGTTGATAAATGTCGCACACGTTTATATGAAAATTAAAAATTACCTCTAACCAACTTAAAGCTTGATCTTGCACGCTAACTGGAGTATTGATAAAACGTTCACTGGCAAAATGATAAACTTTCTGTGGTAAAAATGGAAATGGTCCAGCAGTCGCATCAAAAATTTTTCTGTCCAGACAAAAAGTAAAAGAAATTAATTTTAGAAAATTTATTTACACAATAGATTGAGTCGGGACTTAGAGTTACACATCAAATAATGTGAATAACAATTGGAAACCACTGGAAAAGACTGCCCAGGACAAATTTGATTGAAGATTATTGGTCAGCTGCCTATGCACCTCAGCGAGGCGTGACAGGCGTAAGTAAGTAAATATATACACAAGTTGTTCAGTAACAGAACAGGTCCTGAGAAGCATCAAACTAAAATAGATTAGCTATTTAGTTCACCTTGATTTTCAGTTCGAAACAAAAACCACTTCCATCTCATGCACAAATGGTTACCAAGAATTCTAATTAATCTCAAATTACAAGGAGAAAAGCATTGGGTGGTTTGTGTAAGTGGTTCAATAACAAAACAAACTGTATAATAGATTAGATTAAATCATAGAATCTCAAAAATTAAAAGTTGAATTTGGAGAAACTAATGGCTAATAGCCTGAGATGCCAAATGAAGTCGTTTCTGATAATCAACTCTATTATCTATAATGTGGAACGGTTTATGAATAATCAATTCAATCTATTTTTGTGAGTTCACATAATCATGCAAACTTATCCTCATATTCGATGATTTGAGTGTTAATAAGAATAATGATCTTTTCTCTTCAAGATATTTTTCTGAATATTTTTTACTGAGTTGAAGTGGAGCGCAAACGTTATCGGATTTCTTTGAAAATTGAATCAAGTATGTTTAGATTGAATCTAACATAAAAAAGAAAATTATTTATTTCTTATCGGTCACTCAACATGTATCTTTTAATTGCTATTAAATTCCCATCCCAGATATATGAATGAAGAATGTGATTTTCAACATTGTTTTTTCTTGATGTTCTACAATTATACATCCAAATTAATGATCCAAAAAGTGACCAGGTTTAAGGTCAAATATATCGTTTAAAGTTATAGCATGTGAATTTGGGATTTTAAAACGAAATAAAGTCGTTAATATTGGAATGATTAGTATGAGGTTTTCACTTGAATACGTCTATACGTTAAATGGAATTGTGAGATTATAGGCTAGAATAAATATGGTTTACATGAGATGATAGAGATAAGAATATATTTACTAATCATAAATCACGTAGTATGTAGAATTAGTTAATAGGGATGGATGAGTTTGCAAGTGCTTAATAAAAGTAATGATTACAATAGTGATAATAAAAAAGGGAATATCGACAATATATATCATTAAGTGTAAGCTATGAAAATTCAAAGAAGAAGGTTGTATGAGCATTGTTCGAATTGCGTCAGTATGTCATCAAAATAAAATATCATTAAACACACTGATTTTTGGATATTTAAATAAATTAATGTAAATGATTGTTCCGTGTTGGCTGTATGCCCTATTTGTACTAAATGAACTGAAATCAGGCTGTTCACAGTTTTAACTATGCCATTGCTAATTTACACTGGAAGGTGCTGACGAGCACGAAAATTCAAATTCCTAGAATACTTACCAATATAACTTGTTCCACAGGAGAAATTGAATTGATAGAAGCAATAAGCGGCTAGTCTACGTAATTCATCTTTTAACCTTAAAGTGACCATCGAACGTGTGGAAAACGTTAACTGTGATTTACCTCGGTTAAAGATTCTTTAAACTGCTCTTTGCAGCTAAAGTATAAAGATTCCGTTGAGTGCATCGCCTCTTAATTGTAAGCGTATATACAGAAACGTTTTACGCACAGTTAGGACTTCGTTATACTCTCTTTTCATGGCTAAATATTTTTTCAAAGTTTTCCGGATATCCATTTTTTCTTTCTCTTCAATCGCATATATATATATATATATATATATATATATATATTAGAACGTTAATTTTTCAGAAAAATGGTTTGAACGAATTTATCTTATGTAGCTGACAGAAATTAACGTGCAAAATAAGTTTTAGACATTTCTCTAAGTAAAGCTATCGACTAATGAACTTACTTCAGAAGAATTTCTAATTCTGGATAATCAGCTCTTGAAACTTCAGTTCGAATTGATTCTAACCAGTATGGCATTACAAAATCCCAAGTCTGAAAAAAAAATAAAATATTTAATATATAACGGAAGCATACGAAACGAAAGGAATATTTTGTTGACTCGAAATTCAATGTCTCACATTACCTTGATTCAACTTTACAAAACATATACTTCAAGGTGATGGTAAAAACTGTGGAAAATTTCTCATATAAATGAATAATACTTATTGGATCGTAAGTGATATGCCTCCCATTAGACAACTATTACAACGCTGTAGAGTTATATTTACAGTGATGAATATCAATGTTTGTTCACCTACTCATCTAGAAAGTATAATTTAGAAAGTGAATAAATGGGAAACCAAATTTTGATACTATCATTGTATAAATTTTTTTAATATTCAAGTTCCATAAAAAAACAGTATGACTTTGAACATATCAATAATGACAATTAACTACATATATCTAAGCTAAATGTACTCATTTATATTAGTTAAACTAACCTCAAACGTAATAATATCATATGGTATTAAACTACCAATACGGCTGAGACCATGTTTAACTCTTGACAAGTGATCACTGATTGAATCCCTAATAAATACAGATATATAGAATTAAGAATTATGGAGGTATTTTTAAGTTCTAAAATGCAAATTTAGATTTCTATAGAGGCTATTTCAAACGACAAATAGTAAGTAAATCGTGAATCGACTATGACTATAAGAAAGCATTGGAGATTACTTTTCAAGAAAGAATTAATCTTTTGGATAGTGGAGATTCAATCAATTTTGAAGACGAATTTCAAAAGCACATAGAATAGCAAGAAAAACGTTGAACGTCAACAAAAATTCAACATTAAATGATGGTCAGCCTAAATAATACATCGACTGGAGTTCTAGATGTAAACCACACTTCGTAATTTTTTTAGTGACCGTCCACAAACTGATGTGGACCTAACTTAGGGTCAAATGTCAAAGGTTATATTATCAGAGGGATGGCCATTCTATTAGAAGCCCCCCCCCCGACTCGAGCCTCTGCCCTGACTCCAATTGACGAAAAAATATATCGCATATTTAACTTGTTATGATACTTTGGCTAATGCATTTGAGCAATGGTAGCATTTAAAAGCCAAACACGAAGTATGGCTGGAAAATTATATTTCATTCATCTATGTGATAGCAAAGAAAATGGCTTGAGCTAAATTGAATATTCACTTTTGTATATCATGATACAGTGTTACAATAGATACGAACAGTATATTCAAATAGTCGTATACGAACACATATGCATGGAAATAAATATGAAAATATGGTCAACATCATTGTTATATTAACAAAACAAATATCAGTATAGGGTTGTGAAGATTGTTGAGTTTTGATTGTGATCATCAATCGATCATAGATAGACCATCATTGAAAACCTGGAAGAACTGGACAGCCGTCTAGTCCTATGCTATAGCTGTGACGGCAGATTAGAGGACAGCGAATTATTGTTCGGACCGAAGACGCGCAAACACGCAGGAACAGCCTAGGGTTCTGATTTGTCCCGCTTCCCTGTCTAGCCCAGCCAGTTGAGTCCAGAACGCAAGTCTCAGCCTCGGAGAAATGAATCGTTATATTTCAAACATACTCTGTTTATATACCAATCAAGCAGACCACATCGTACCATAAAATAGAAAATAACATTGTACAATATTGACCAATACGAAAATAACACTATTTCAAGTCCAAGGATAGCGTTAGACTTAACAGAATGATTTTTGGGATATTTTCCTGAATATCCCTACATCCTAATATGGGACACTGCAGCAGGGCTTATACACGACCTCAAACGAGGAATTTGGACCCAGGACCTGCAGTCTCACACGAGAACTATGACAAAATCTGTTAGAAATAATAAACAAGATACTATCTATTTAACCCTTATTTGACATACTTTCTGGAGCCTCAGAGAAACGAATATAATTGTATTCGAGCATGTATAGATGTAGACACAACTTGCCTTGAAACTTTCCAATATCTAACCAACCTTGGTGAAGAACCGCTTTTCATCTTCATTTACACATTTCACTTCGAACAATTTATTAAAGTGGTAACAATAATCGATAATTTATCTAGATTAACTTACCAGCAGCTTCCAACTCGAGCATAATTTAAGGGATGAGGAAGCAATACTCCATAGATTGCTTCTGGATGAAGACGATGAACTTCTTGGATCCATTTCAGAATGTACTTCAATGAAAATAGTGACCGAAAAATATAATTAAAAGTAGTAATGATGAAAAATTTTTAACAAATCAGGCAAGTGTTATAAAACTGTCAGTGTTGGCTTACAAGTATCTTATCTCTGGAGTAGTGTATTAGAACAAAAACAGAATCACGGTGTTGAAATAGATGAAACAGTATTAGTTACTAGGACAGAATGCGCGCGGAACATTGATGTAATTGTGTATATACTGGATGATAGCCAAAACTTAAAAGTATTGTATCTTAGGACATTTGATTAATATGTATATTCGTTTTAACATGGTATATGCTGTTTGTTCGACGAAAAATATAGCAAGATATGATAAATCTGGATTTATTGATTGATCATTGATACACTGCGTAAAATTACACAGATAGAAAAACGGATTAGAGTAAAATACACGTACAATTTACGAGACTAGTCATTCCACACAGTTTATGTACAGATAAGTTTACTCAAATACATTCAGTATTACACGAACATGAAAAATCCCTTCATATTTATATGTATGTCATAAGTAATGGAAGTTAGTTGTAAATCATATAGACAACATTCCATAGATTTTACGGATATTATAATAAATTTCAAGATGGATGAGATTCAAAAAAATCCATTTTCATGCAATAAAAAAATAACAGTTATAGGAATAATTAGTAATAATTGATAATTATATTAAATATCTATAGATTAGTGTACGACTTCTAGGAAATAAAATTTGGAATAGATGAATTATAGCTAACATAGGAAATCAGGACGAGCGTTTTATCCCATTTAGAATTCTTCAACTGGATGTATTTTCACACTGGTGTTGACATTCATCATGGAACTCGAAATATAATGTGGAAGTTCAAGAAATTAAAACATGATAGACTACATCACTTACTTCACTTTTAATTCGTTCCAACAAGTCACCCAACTCATCTAAATAGAAAAGACAAAAAATCTGTACAGTGAAAGTTAAAGACTTAAAAAATTATTACGCAAATGTAAGAAGTTTAGAATGGATTGTTACAAAGTGGAATAAGCATTTATAATGTAAACTATAAACAAGCATTTAAAAAATCAGTATATTTATTCTGACGTAAACAGAACGATTTAATTTTGTTATTTCAGAGACTGCAATAATAATTTTATTAAGCCAGAATCTATTTCAAGTATAATATTCAACTATTAGCAAATACCTTTATCACAAGTGCATTGAAAATAAGTTCAATGAAAACACAGAATTTATTTCGTTCTACACATTTGGCTGTTTGTCTAATTTAAATACTTGAATTCAGACTTCTCAATAAACTGAAACATGTAGTGATACTTCATCGTATATTAAAAATAAATTATTTCTTGCAATAAATAGATAATATGCATGCAAAAAACGCTATATGAATCTTAGTGAATAACAAGAATAAGGCTATACAACGTATCAATACAGCCATAGATAAACAGGACGAGAAATGTTATAGATATATTAATAAGCATTAATTTAGTCTGCATGTTGTGAAGTAAAAACACTCAAGTTAATATGTATATCTCAATTAATTCAAAGATTAGAATGTTTATGCTATATTTATCACTAACAATAACAGCACTATTACTCTTATTGACAATATTGATGTTCAGTTGAGTTGAAAAGGAATTACCTTATTGAAGTAATACATATCTGCACCTTATCAGAATAGTTAACTGAAACACAACAAAAGTACTATGAACTGTTCCGATACTGAATGACCAAAAAACCACTTATGACGAATCACATGTCATAGAAAATAAACCAAAGTAAAACAGGTATTTAGAAACAAATAACGTAACATTATTAAATAAATATGACAATGAAATGTGTTGGGATTAACAATCCTAGTGAGATGAGGATGTTAGGAGAAAAAATCAGTAGAATTCCTTTTGGTATACAGTTTGAGATTGTATATTTATATGACAATAGTTTTATCAATATACGTAATGTGAGTACCTTTTTCCTTTGTAAACTACAGTTATAAGTCCACTGTAAATGGATGACCAATGTTGTCGATGTGTTTTATTCTTAGAATTTGTGGTATTCATCGCTGTCTCTTTTAAACCATCCTTGATCTTCCATATCTTATGGGTGGCTTCAGTATTTTGCCACTAGAGACAAATAAACTAATACGCACAATCAAGGTTGTCAAATCTAGAACTTGTGTTTCAGGTTACGGTAAACACATCTCGGCCTCACAACGTAAATCTCAACACTGATCACAGAAATTCTTTCTAAATAGGTTTGAAACTTTCTATAAAATGTGTGTAGTTAGTTTACTTATGAATTTAACGTGTGTCCTGTATGGCAGAGAGGCCAATGTTCTTTTGTGAGATTTTGGCTTGATACATCTCCATTTAAGTTGAGTGGATGAGTATTTTCAATCCATAAGTCTCTCACAAAACGTGCCTCATAACGAATTCGTGCGGCGAGAAATACAATTACATTTCCCTTTTTATCTAAATATAGAAGAGCCATAGGAACTATTCGCATGGAATGTTCATTCAACTTTGCTGTGAGCAAACCTTTTCTTCTAGTAAGTTTGATGAAACAATTCACTAAAAATCACATCAACTCTTAAACAACTACCTTGCATTGAGATAAATTTAGATGGTGAAATGAGATTAAATTTACCATAAGTGATGAGATACACATATATTAGAGTAATAAATTTCTAACAGTCTAATAACACTAACTTTTTCAGATATTTTTACACAAGAAACAATAGAAGTGAAACTGGAATGAATTTGAAATATAATAACACTAAGAAAAAAACATATCACTTCCAAAGTAAAGGGATTAGTTAATTAGAATAGAAAAAAGCAACTGTTGGGTTTCTGCTTTGAATATCACTTTAAAAATTATCTGTAGAAACACATTTGTACATTGCTCAGAGCATTTGAAATCATAATGAAAAATGACTTTATGCTTTTGAGGAGTAAGTATGACGGTTAAGTGCATCAAAAGCTCAGTTCTTTCTACATAGTTTGTCAATAACACATAAACCAACCATATCTTTAAATCCTAACCTTAGGCTTTTATTCTTAATACTTAACTCAAACTATTAAAATAGTAACTCTAAACCTTTAAACCTAACATCAATCAGGAGGAGCTTCTAAGGATATGCCTATAGACTTATGAGAGTTTGAGAAGAAGGATAATCAATATCAATAGAGACGAATTTATAAGCCGTTGTTTTTCCCATTTACAAACAGAACAACCTGTAGAATGTTAATAAATTAATTATGTAAAATCTATTTACCGTTTGTAGTAGTTATCTTTATTTTCTATAAACTACTTATTGGAACAGCTATTTTCTGAGTGATTAACAACTGGCTAAAAGTCCCTGAGATTGTTTCAAGCTCGCCTCTATGCTTTGTTTTTATCATTGCACATCAACCCATACTCAAAACTGAGGTCAATATGACTACGATATATTTACTTTAGGTACAAAATGCTCTAGAACACAACGTGGTTTTTGAATTTTTCAATGGCTAAGTTTTCAATCAGTCTAAGTAGTTACCCTGGACTAATTTCATTAAACACTACAAAAGATATGTTGAGATCAATCCTATAACAAAGTACAGTTAAAACGGGTTAGTTGTGCCTATATTAAACTTGCTCCAATAATGCTGATTTAGTTATATACTTAAACTGGTATGTTCTATGTTGTTTTCTAATTATTCAAATGTACCTCAACTGACGATTTTATGTTCACAAGCATGCTTTAGCAACTTTGTGTTTATTGAATCTGTTCAACATGTATTTAAAAAATTAATTACAAAGTTCCAATACACTATTTAGATGAAAACTGTAATAAGTATTGAAGTGGTGCTCTATTGGTCAAAGCATTTAATTGTTAAACACCAAGTTGCTAATTAGGATTATTCAGGCATATTAATTTGACCATGCATTCACAAACAATAGTTAATAAATATACATTTAAAGCAAACATAATAAAGAGTGAATTCAAAGCATAACTGGTGCGTTCGGGTAAAAATTAAAAGCAGTGCTATTGTGATAAGTTACATAAAACCAAGCAAATTTCATTATAGAATCAGTATAACGAACAAGGGAATATGTGGCTGTGCATAAATATATGTAAATATATTTTATGTGAATAAGCAATAATAGAGCAGGAGTATAAGTTTTATAAATATACATTATTATAAAATATACATGAATGTATTTACATCGTCGTCTCAAATTTCCTCGACCGTCGAATGTGATACTTGCTGAAATCAATAAATAATCAAGTTTATCCTTTTTATTTCTGTGATAACTAACGGAAAGATTTGTTTAAAAAAAAGTGCATAAGATAAATTATAAAACATAAAAAGTATAAGGAATTTACTGTTAGTGACATTTTTTAGCTACTTAATTGACAGTTAGTAATTTAATTACATGACTAGACCAAACAAAATGAAATAACATAGCGTTATTGTACATCAGTTCCAGATCGTCCAATTCAAAATGTAATGATATGGTACGTACGATTTATGTTTTACACTAATTAGATAATTTTTTCTTCTGTAAACTGTTTATCGGGGTATGATGTGTTATGAGTAAGATTAACATGTTCATGTTTGAAACGTCATACAATTTAATATTTATGAGTAAAAAATATGTGCATAAATACTTTTTTCAGTTAACTAAAAGTATCTAATGTCCGTATTGAATCTAGGGAATATCTTTGTTAATAAAGCAACAATTTATTTATCATTTCATGCGCTTTGCTACAAGTGATTTCTTTTATAAACTTAATAACTGTTCATTAATAATACTGACTAAAACGCAAGTTATCTAGCTTACTTGCATTAATATTTAGTTATAAAATCCTGGCAAGTGTGAAAGTACATTATTTATTCTTTATTACACCGTCAGAGAAATCAGAATATTTACAAAATAATAATGAGAATTGTTTACTTAATGAGTAATTTTACGAAATAAATCATTTCCTTAGTACGCAAATATCGTGGGCCAGTCGGGAAACTTCATTTATAATCACTTTTATAAAGATCTGAAAGTTGTTTACTGAATAGTTAATGTACAGGTGTGTGGTACATTTGTCCTAATAAGTCACGTTTACTACACAAGACGGCCTTAAATTGTTGTGCCTTAACATTATTTTATTGACCATGAACAAAATTCTCATCCAAGAGAATCATTTATTAAATAATTTATCACTTTAAAAAAAAGACAGAAACGAGCATCTGTGAGTTCAGATGAATGAGTTTCTGTAAAATACATTCTCTCATTTTATGATGCAAAAATTGATTACAAACACTGAAAGTTTCATGAACAATATAAAAATGCCTTACTCGTGTTTACATTATGTAGATGATAAATGCAGTCATCTGTATATTTATTGGCCAATAAATGGCATCTGACCTATGCGATTTTCTTAGAGTATCTCAGGATTAGTGAAATACTGCCGTTATATCAATTTATTTAAGAATGTAAGTGAAGGGGATAAAATCATGCACCAACTGATGTTAGTAGGTACTTGTGGATGTAAAAGAACTAGCAAATAGTTATGCTTACTGGTCATATTTACACAAACATTTGAATCGTAACAAATAACAGACTAACAATTTCCAGATTGTTATCAGCCAATCACATCTCAAATGGTTGAAAATGAAACTACGTCATTTTTGAATGAAACATTATTGTTTTATTAACAAAGGACCTGACAAAACTATTATTTAACATCTATTGTCTTGACATGAAACAATCAACCATTTGAATAATGAACTCAAATTTTACGACAAATTGACAACATTAACTCTAAACTAGTATTTGGATATATATGTATGTAGTGCAAACAAACCTTCTGCTGTATAGATGGTATCCATAAACCAGTTAAAAATACCAGCTGTGATTCTTGTAAGTAATTCCTAAACAATAAGTTAAAAAGTATACAGAATTAATGAAACATGGATAAGATTGATCGTTTACTAGGTTCAAAAAACCTGTTGTTACGAGTTCGTATATACAAGTTAACCCAATTCCTCGAAATTTCTCGTCATCTACTTAATGGTGAACATGAAGTTTTCAAAATGATCACTGAGCAGATAATTCCGAATTTATTGGTTTTGCTGAAGCTAATGATAATTAAAAGTTGAAATTAAACGTATTTACTTAAAAAAAATAATGCAGTCTCCCATTCTTAATTGAAGATCTTATCTCTCGCTCTGAATTATGAACACATTTTCGTTCATGCGCCATTTTTTAAACTTCACATTCTAATCGGTTAGTCTGTTCGCTTATATAATTATTTTTACATAACTTTTGTCATCGATTTTCACTTTCCATTAACTTATCTCCTTGTGTTTTATGACTCACTTCTAGACTTTTCAGATTAGTTAATACATAAATAATTAACTGCTAGAATACTTTTATAATTCTTTCACACTTATTGCTAATTTACTAATAATTATCAGTATCATATCAAGTATGTACATTCATTTTAAATAAACGTTACTATTGTTTCTGGGTAGTGAGCAACTAAGGAAAGTATATGAGACAAGTGCGTTTCTCTTATTTTAAGTTTAACACTCCTGCTTTGTTAAAATTAATCGATGAGAGAGATTGTATAAAATAATAGTTTTTTTCAATTTCCTATAACTTTTGGTGATCAGAAGGTATATCCCCATACAATCTAATCCTTAAATGAGTCTTTTAATTTACTGAAATAATATAGATTCAGACAAATCCATTCAAATACACCATAAAGATAAGATAAGGACGTGTAACCGACCCCAAACAAGTTAACAGTTGAAATGCAATTAACCTATATGTACTGCATACCTTCATTTTGTCGTTCATCAAATTGTTTAATATACAGATTCAAGAAAAAAAATTAATTGAAGCTGTTGACTTATTAATAAATATATAATAAGAAAACAAAGCAACTTTCTATCAAAACATTTAAATCTATAGATTGTGTATGTAAATATTCAAAGTAAACTTACAAGATTAATTCGTTCACGTGGTCGACATTTTTCACCTACTAGGAAAGCACCGTATATTGCCAAAACTCTATGATCTTCATCACGATAACGACCAAGCAGTGTAATTGCTCCAGTTTCTGTCCCAGTGTTATTTGCGAGATCGTTAATACCAGCGATTCCACTATTACCAACACAACTACCAGAAGTTGTTTGATTACGAGTTGTTGTTCCGGTCTGGATTAAACATGCATACATATTAGTCAATTCACATATATTTATTGAAAAAATAACAATACTCAGTTTGACATAATTCTAAAACTTTTGGACTATATTTATAACTATATAGACATTGTAGTATGTGCTACTGATGTCGACGGATATAATTAGTATGTACGCCGGTTGAAAGTGAAATGCCTGGCAGTAGAAGGTTAAGAAGATCGGGGAGAAGATAACGAAAACAGATGTTGATTGATATAGAAACGAAGAAACAATGAAGTCTGAGACAATTGACTGACATTTTGCAAATCAAGTATTTACGGTATGATTCTTAGATCTTAACAAGAGATTCTGTAATTTTGTGTTAGAGTACATTTGGCTGTTCCTGCCTGTGTTCTCGTTCACTATAACGTAACTTTATCAGCCTATGAAATTACTAAATTCTCTGTCAAACTTACTATTGGGCTTGTTCCAAAATCACTGAAATTCGTTTGTCCTGTTGTACTTCCACCTACTTGAACTGCATTTGTAGTATTTATGAGATTTCCAGATAGATTTGAAGAAACTAAACTCCCACCACTTAGTCCAATCATAACCATTTCATTAGTGGATGTCGGACCGCCAGGAGCAGAGGAACTAGGGCATGTTAAGCCAGCTACTATGCGATTAGTACTTTCGTCTCCATTTTCAACGCCCCCTAGTAGTACTTGACGCCAGCGTGGCATTGTTTCCAATGTTAATGATATTATTGCTTGAATCATGCAAGGTTGAGAATCAATCGACATATCCCATACATCTGGTAATGAACTCTGGTAGAAAATGAGAATTACAAAAAACGTCTTTAGGCCAACTTTAGCATTCCCCTTATAAAACGAAAAACAACAAGTTACTTCAGTTTATTAATGAAGGAATGTGTTACTACACTTTTGGTTTTAATTTACTAGTAACAATGATCGTAGGAATAGAGTGCAAAAATTGTTTTGATAACATAAACTTTAATTTGATTGTATAAGATTAATAATGTCTATTTGAAATACAAACAGTTATATTGAAATTTCATACAGTTTTTTCTAAAATCATTAACTGTAATTTAGCTGTACATTTAGGTATTTTGTATAAATAAATAACTCATTGTCATTGATAACACGATTACTGAATTATTTACCCTAAAATCAGTTAAATTTATTTCTTTATAGAATAAATTGAAAACTTTCGAATCTTGTACAATACCAAACGGAACTGTTTTGATTTAACTGTTTTATCGTTTCTAAATACTTTTATGCTCTATTTTTTATAACGTGACGCTTGACAGTGTACAGATTTGTGGATTTCATAATCTAGAATTTGATCAAGCTATGTTAGCCTGAATCAAGTTCTGAAGTATGAAACATCGAAAAATTCATATTATCCGTAGTTATAGGAAGCTTATAACTTGATGACACCTAACTTTTCCTTCAAGCTCATTTGTCTACCTTGTATGTAAAATTCAGTCTGACAGCAAAGTCTTTCTTGGATTATCTATTTAAAATATAAAAACATCCAAGTAAAATTACTCTGAAATGCGACAAATTTGTTTCTATACGTTATCAGAAGTGTTATCTAAACTCAACATATTTCTTTCTTTCTTTCAGAATATTTCTTGGTATCATAATGGACAGGGAAGTATTTAATGTTTGGAGATCCATATTTCTTGTTTAATGATCTGTAAATATGTCGATTTTCTATACTGTATATACAATTTAATCATAATTTATTCTAAATTTCCGTATATATATATATATATATATATATATATATATATATATATATATATATATATATATATATATATATATATATAGGAACTGGTATCAGCAAATTAATGGGTACTTAGTGAGTGGGTTCAGTTTCATAAGCATTGATCGGTCGGCCACATTATATCATTTCCCATCATCGTTAGATATTCATTCTATTCCTACACAAAATAGTACTTACATCATGCTAAAATCTGATCTATAGAATTCAATGAGCTTAATTTATCAGACAGGAAATAAACAAAGTATGGACAAAATACTAAGATTTTTTTCTTCATTAATTCAGGATTAGAATCATTTTATGTAAATCTAGATGAGAAATCATAAAATATACTTCAGAATTATGATAATACCGGTGTATTGAATGTATGGTTTAGAAAATAAATTTTAAGATCTTACTTAATGGTAACAGATGTCTCTCAAGTATTGCTCTAAACAGAAAAGCAACATAATCACATTTATAAACGAGTGAGTATGAGGTACTTGACGATACATAACAATATCACTGTTTCTCATCGATCAAAAGTATTTTATATTTTATTGTATTAATCTTACCCCTATATCTGAGCTATAAAAACCAAGTTTAGAAAAATAATATTAAAAAAATACAAACATATTTATGTAGAAGTTTGAAAACAGTACAACGATACTGTACCAACTTCAAACGAAAAAACAAACAAATAAAAGCAGAATGGCAAATGAACAGAAGACACATAACGTGAACTCATTAAATTTCAAGTATTCGAAAGACTACAAAAACGAAATTTCAACTATAATTAATCAGAAGCAACGTTACAAAGTATCTTCGGGCAGTTATATCTGATGACTTGAGAAACTTAGCAGGAGCCTCGCGTCTCCCTACTCAACCAGGACCATATCGTACACCTAGAATCGAATCGAATATGAATAAAATATATGACAGCTACATTGTAATGAGAAATATTGTCACCACAATAAATCATTGTAATCGATATTAAATTTACTGTTAAGATTTGATAATTCCTCCTGGTGAATTTCAGGTTTCCAAGTTGTATTCCGCAACATGTAATATATGTTTTCTATTCAGAAATTTACGACAGAATCATGAAATTATACAGCACTATTGTAAATTTACAGATCTTCTTATTGTCATTGTTTGTTGTTAGGATTTAGTTTCACAAAGCTTAGGGTTCCTCCTTGTTGAAATTGGTGACACAAGTAGTTAGTTGCGAAACAATATGCAAAATAAATGTGGTTCTTTAAAAAAACTCTTGTTAATGCAAAACGTATTACATCACTTACTTGATAAATGTGTGCCGTACTGTGACCATCTTCGTCATTATTATCGTTGTTAATCCCAGTACTATTGGTAACTTCAAAGACAACAGTAGTATCAGAAGTATTTTGAGTTAAATTTGTATCCATTTGTTTCTTGTTTCGATCAACTGATGGTTGATTTATATCGGGATAAATGTGCCGCAGTGAATGGCATAATTCACATAATCTTATAGCTCTATTTCCTGTTAAATATGTACAACCAGTAGACCAGCATGTAACGGAAGCTGAGTTGTTTTTACTACGACAGGTTTTTGATTCACATGTTAGACTTATCTAGAAAAAATCAAATAGAAAAGAAACCAAAACAATACAGTATTGTCGGGTACTAGAACAAAATCGACGAATAACAGGAAATTATCAAAATTTTGTGCTTACTAGCACACAAAAGCAAAGAAAGACTATAAGAAAACAAGACTACTTATCTTACATAAGCCTATGTAGTCCGGCTCCGTAATCACCTCTGGAAGTTACTGTCATACCGTCTAATCTTAAGAAAACTGAAACGCTTGTATAGACTACCAAGATGTAGTTGCCCATTGTTTACAGTCGGATAGGATAACTCTTTATTTAATCATACCAACAGTTAGCGACTTCATTTATATCTGTTTCATGTTGTAATTGTTAATACAATAATAAAACAACAGTTATATAGTAAATGGATAAAGTTTAAAGCTGAGGAAATAAAATACCTGTATGAAAACTGGTTCTATAAGAAAATAACTTCAATTTTCTACAAAATAAGGAATTTTTAGATGCAATAAATGAATGACTATGAAAATTAAGTGTCTTTTCCACTTTATAAGCTAAACAATAATTGAGTTAAGCAGGAAATAATTTTTTAAAGAGTTGCGTTCTCTGAGTTCGGTAGATTAGTGGTGATGTTTTCATTAACTTTTTAGAAGAAACTTTAAAAGTAGAAGTGTCACAGTATAACTTTTTAATTACTATCTAAATTATATTCCTGTCGACATGAGATATAGTTGTTTATTACTTCTTAGCATTTTTCACTAATATGATCTCTTATCTCACAGTTAGTTCCCGCTTTTCTCAATGGCTGATAATGATGAGAAACATATATACATGATAGTGGCTAAATGATATTGGGAAAAGAATAAAACGCAAGTCATTAGAAAAAACGTCCCCTCTTCAACCTGAATTCTCAGTACTATTTATCTCATGGCTTATAAAATGATATTTGAACGAAGCATAAGGTGAAATTATTTTTTTCTAGAAAAAACAAGTTATTTTTCAAACTTACCTGTTTTGTCGGTAAAAGAATATCAATTAATTGGTCAAAATCCAAACGGTTTAATGCATCAGCACAATCTAAGCAAACGTACAAAGGTGGTGGTTTACCACTTTGTTGAATTGATATTTTTGGGTTAACAGTCATCTATACGAAAACGTGGATGATATATAAGTGTTATATTGTGTGGTAGTGATAGTTGATTTAATATAACTTAATGTGAAGGTGACACAAATCTTGTGGCAAGTTCAGTAAAATTTATTATTTATGAATCAAAATAACCATCACAAAACTACTCATATTTTATATATTTATGAAACAATTTTAATAGTCGTGTTGATAATAATAGCTAAAGTACCCAAACTAACTATCACACTACCTCTGATAAAATGATGATTTTAAAACAATTAAGTTTTTATAGTATTACGAGCAACAAAAACGAATAATAAGGGGAACAGACACATATATCAATCAATGAGTGACAGTGGATATCAAAGTGTGCGGAAATAGTCAGTGAAAGCTAGTCCAAACCTTTCTCAAACATACTAACTAGACTGGAGCAGAGAAGAAAAGACCGTATTGAAATTAGTGCACTAATCATTTTGAGAAAAGATAGCACCGTTATTCAAAACTGTTGTAGTAATGCACTTAAATTTGCATTGAGTAATATGAATAACGGAAAGTACCAAGAATAAGCCTATAAAAAGGAATATGGAAAATATGCAGGATCTATAACTTATAAAAGCAAAGGTAAGTGAAAATCGTAAATCTTCGGAAATGAGGAAGAATATTATTATAATTAAGGATATTCACAACAGTTTTACTGAAATTAAATTTCAAACAATTACATTGTGATTAGTATCAAGTTAGTTCACTGTATGTTAATGAAAAATTATTATTAGATGCAGTTAGTAAATTAAGTGCTAGCTACAGGGTTAGATTATCCTTGGTTGTAACTGATTTAAGATCGTTCATAATTATGATCCAGATACAAGTTATTTGCACATTCATATATCTTTTGCATATTAATATAGAAAACTTAGATTATTTTGTGTCAACGAAGTTCTTTTAATTATTAATTCAGTCTAAACAACATAAATTGTGTGTAAAACATTGTATACCAACTGTTCTTTTTATCTCTTAACTACTTATAAGTAGTAGGAATTAAGGATTTCTATTTATTCAGTATGATGTTAAATATAGGGATTTACCTTCATTGCCAAAGCTTTTCCAGTTTTATTAGGACAGTCATTTCTGTAACACATAATCGGTTTCCAAGCTGAAAAGTAGAAATCGTATGCGTAAATTATCAATCAAAATTCAATATAAATAATTTGAACAAGTTTGCTGAAAATGTGTAAATTAGTTGAATGAAATACAAATAAAATAATCATAATAGTAGTTATTCGCATTATTTTGTAATACATTAAGCTTCAAAATTAGTTAAAAAGTTATAACAAAAGTGAAAATATGTTGTGGACTCCTAAGTAAATAAAGTTTAAAATGTCTTCAAATATCAGTTTAGGAGGCGTTCTCCGTTATCTCATTAGAACAGACACACTGACATATTACTGAGTCATTTTATTTTTATAGGTAAATGACAAATCGTCTACTGGTGTAATATGAATCAACGGTACATATGAATATCACCAACTTAGAGTCCAGAAAAGATGTGTGTTGGCCCGAATTACCATGTCTGATTAGCACGACGAGATAAAAATAAAAAATAAGTCTAAATAATATATTAGCAATGACAGAAAAAAGAGATGAACGGCAGTAATGTGGTTATAAAAAACAAATTAAGGAGGTAGATATTAATGGATACTATAATTCAAGATTGATAAGAAGATAATGACAACAATACAGTTCTTCTGAGGCAGAGATATGGCACAGCTAGTTGGTATGGACTAACCTAGACACAAAAGGAATAAAAGAATGATTTTTTTCATCCTCCAGAAAACCATTCATTGCTAGACTGTAAAATATTGAGAAACTCTACTTTGCTTTCGACAAGAATAATTATTACTTACCAAACGTATGACTCTATATATTTTTTCTCAAACTACTCACAGTTACAAATTGATAAAATCATGATGACTAATTCACACTAATTGGTTAGACAACAAAAGAAATTGATCAGAAGATTTATTTATGTCATGTAGCAACATGAATCACAGCGTAAATTAGGGAATTTTCTATTTCACTGACCGATATTTCAAAAAATCTATTAGTATTCCTTATGTCCTTTCCTAATACTTTTTTACACAAGTTACCACGCTAAAAAAAGTGAACCTCGTATATTTACATTCCCATGTATAATGTATTGGTTGTAACGCTTGATTTCCATAGAATGCTGTCGGATAATTTTCTGGCCAATAATGAAAAAATAAACAAACAGCTGGAAGTCTAGCTTCTGTTGGTCCATAAGCTATGATCATTAGTAAGTCCTAAATTGTAAAATAAATTATTAAAAAAAAAGCCGTAAAAGTAGATTATCAGAATGGAATAGGTGACTGAGATAGTAATGATAATAAAAGTAATAGTAATAATATTAAATTTATTCTTAAGACAAACAAATAAACAGATAACTACAAGATGAGCGATACTTTCTATGCCCGTTTAAATTAGTACGGTTGAACTTAAACCACAGTTACATGATTATTGATTTGATAAATAAGCAATGTTACTCTAAAGAAAGTAGAGTATAACTTGCATTAAAAATCCTCAACTTACTTTATATAAATCTTTCTTTCTGGACATAAAGCTTTCTAATACCCAAACATGATATTCTAAAATGTAAAGTATTGGCTTCATTAAAAGTTTATTAATTGTGATTTTAAGAAAAAAATAGATGCTTATAAAATGGATTTAATTAAATAGAGTTCGACACAATTTAAAAATTGTTTCGTATTAGCTCAATTAATCATTACCTTGATTGATGAAAGGAATACGCCACTACAATTTTTTAAGTTATTTTAATCATTTTTTTGTTTTTTTTTATCAAAGAACTGTTTGTCGTAACCTTGAATTGACCTTGGTAATCTTTAAGTCATTCTATGGCCTAGGATAACGCGACAATTTCTTATTCTTTCTCCCCCCCCTTTTTTTGGTTATTTTACTTGAACTTTTATTTCATTGACCTTTATTAATTTTCATATAAAAATGCTTTGACAAGTATATGTGTGACCAGATTGTTTGAAATGTATAGCGCAAATACATCACATTTTTCAGATAAACTCCGTCTTCTCATTGTTCTATCGAAATTTATAAAAGGGACTAATTGTTTTAAATTCAAAGAACTATACTTAAATGTTTATTCTTATCGATGAAAAAACAATTTGTCTGTCATTTTTTCTGGTTATTTGTATACTTGTATTTAAATGGTTTAGGTTTCAGGTAGTCATGATTCTTGATTGTTATTCCATCACAAAAGTAATGAGCACTTACTTAGTAAACAAACGCAGCTTGAAATTACTTTTTTTTATTCAACAATAAATATTTTTCATTCTATGTAGTTAATCATTAACTAGACTTTAACTGATAAAGTTAATAAATTAAGATTAAACTACTACCAGTCTTTAGATATTTTCATTGAAACTAACTGACTGGAGTGAAAAGGTTTGGTGTAAGTTAGATATACATTAACGAATTGGACTTAAACAAATGATGAAAAGGAAGAAAATGTAATCAGGGTATATAATTAAGATACGGGGACAGACAGGTATCATTTTTGTCTAAAATCAACCGAATAATATTATCAGGACTGTGGTTTAAGTTCATCATTCATACCTGTCCCAGGATTAATTAAAAATTATTAATACCTTTATCCTTTGCATTCTTTAGAAATGATATTATTTACATCAGTTTGTTGCTACAATTTTCACATATTATATACTATGACTAAAACATTCCCAAAAATCCTATTTAATTTTGACTATTATAGTGTTATCAAACCTATCCTGTAACTTCAACTCATCAATTATCGGTACAATCTAGCTTAGGAAAATTCATTGTTAAAAAATACTGAAACAATTTTGACAATTTTTCTTACAAGTGAGTAATTATTGGGGCGAAAAAAGTGTGTGTCTTGATATATTCAACACATATCTCTATAACAATCAAACCAATCACTATATTTTTAATATTTATAGTCATAACCTCAAAATTTATCGTTAACAGGAAAAAAGAGTATAGTAATTTTAACATCACCGTAAAAAAACCCATCAAATTTCATTGTACCAAGTAATATTGCATGTTTCAAATAGATAATATTAGGTCATAAATATAAATCAATAAACAATAGCTGGGTTTCGTCGCATTCTTGAATCTTTAAGTTATAATGTTCACCTAGCGTATACAATATTCAGATACCTATCAATTTTTCAAACAATAAAATAACTATTTAAGCTACCTATTAAATTTTATCCTCAGAAAATACCAATTTACTTACCAACTTTTTCTACATGTTGAAATACTAATGTTAAAATAGACGGAATACAATCTATTGCATAAGATTCTTGATCATCTGACATATCTAAAGAATGAATACATAAATAAATACAAACCAAGAAAAATCTCTTGTCTAAAATATAACAAGTTACAAGGTGAAATATTGTAAAAGTGTTTTGATTTTTGATCTTATCAACATAACCTAATTACTGATGTCATTTTTACGTTAGAGAAATTAATCAACTTTATGGATAAAATAAAAGATTGCATTTAGATAAATAAGTGGTGTCTAGTCCTATGTCAAGCCCACACAGGTTATTCTAGAGATTTATTCATTTTTTCCAAGTCGTACTGTGACCTATTTAATTGCTCACTTATTAGCATTTACTGTTTTTATACGAGCGTATGTGTGTTAGGTGCTTACCTTATTCACTACGTGTCTGTAATTTGTTTTTTTCTGACTATAAATATCAAGTCACGCTTAATCAAATCGAGTTGGCTCCCTCGCTTTCTCCGCTTTGCTTTCCCGCTTCTCATCCTGTCCGAGTCAACAAGTGTACGAAATATACGTTTTCAAAATTCATTCTCGTATTTGACTTATTTTATCCCGTTATTCACTAATTCAATTTAAATCCATTGTTATATACGAGGGTAGCTGGGATGTATATTTCGATAACATCATCGTTCAATCTAATTGGAGTCAAATCAAAGAGTTGCAAAAAATAATTTAATCATTAAAAATATAATAATGATGTTTACTAAATTTTGAAAATACTTTCGTTTATTATTGATTGTTTATTGTGCATAAATAAGTTGGAAAGAATGGCTGTTCTGTAAATTACCTGGTTTAGAAGTATAAAATAATATTTCTTTGATTGCAAAAGATGCTATAGTTAAGTTGAAATTCGTTGTGTTAATTTCCCCATGATCATTGGAAAACTAGTGGCTCCTGACTGATAACAATATATAATAACAGTACCTTCAGTACATGATATCATATATAGTAATAATACTACATCTAGCCTAAAAGTGATAAAACACGATGGAAATCGAAGGTTCATTACACTTGTGAATACATGACTGACACTGACGGATACTACATTTTATGCATCAAATATTATGATACTGTTTCGCATAACGTTCTTGAATTCAACATTTCAACAAATGATTCTGTCATGAGATTAATAAACGTGGTTGAAATTTTTTACTTAGTTCAATATGTATCAACAAACATAAACGAAAGATAAGTGGATTCAAAGTCAGTCTAGTAGCAAAAGCATTTATCAGCAGGATTCTTTTGGATGAATATTTTTTTTGTTCATAAATGTCATTGAAGAGCAAAGTAGTTCCGTTTCATTTCATCTGAATTTTAATAAACATAGAAAAACTAAGCTAAAATTATGTCCTTACAAAAAGAATGACAGCATGAATTAGTTAGAAACATAATAAGTTAATACAGAAATTTGAACATCTTACAATGGCTTCGGTTGTAGATAGCTAAAAACGCTTTCAGATACCTAGTGCTGTGAGAGGCCAACCTAAAAATAGTATCAATTACTGAAGTATTATAAATCAGCATTTTGTTCGGATTTGTTGAATTTCTAGCATAATAATAATGATTACCGTGTGGTAAACAAGAATACCGGTGGGGGCAGTCGAGTGTACCTGAGATAAAATTACAGGACTTGTTAATAAAATCTAACAATCATATGGTAAATGCTTAATTTGCAAAATGTCCATCAATTGTCTCAAAATGGCTCAGAATTCATTGTTCTTGCATTTTCATACAAATGGCATTCTGTTTCCATTCTTTACTGTTCGATCCTCTTGTCTCTCCACATTATCAGTATCCGTTCAAAGACCGAGGGTATATTTAAACTTTTTCCTGCTTTATAGTCACATTTTATGTATAAGAGAGATAAAATTCAATCATTATGCAGGTCGAAAGTAGATTACCGCGTTCGATTCAAGCTGAAATAATTAACAATAAGGTCCGATTTTTAACATTACTTACAAAAATAACATACAAGGTATATAATAAACGGAATGAAAACATCTGAGCAATGTTTAGAAGGAACATAGCAAAAAACATTCTCTTTATCCTATGACTTTAATTTACGAAAACCAAAATACCATTCTACACAGAAATAACAAATATTAAGTCAGTAACTTACTATAAATCAATGGTATCACCACTGAACATAGTAGATCGATAACGCCGGACTGCATATTTGATGGAAAATAAAGTAACATCCATGTGATGGCTAACGGTACACCTTCTAAACAGTCGTAATCCAAACAAAATAAGAGACTTTGAATTGTACGTAGTAAGTGTTCACAAACAGCTGGAAATGTACAGAAAATACAAACATATATGAGCGCATAATTTGGTTTGTATTAGTTTAAATTGACAGTACAAATTATTATCGAATCTCAAAATGCAGGCATTACCCAAAGTTGCAGAACAGTACCTAAAATCACTGAAATGAAATTATTTGTTCATTTAAAACTTAAATCTATGAACTTCAGATTTCCGTTCACCCGTAGATTATAATATGCTGGACTCGAATTTACGAAATACTAAGCTTATTAGTTGCATAATGCCATCATACTTTGTCAATCTGGATAGAAAGTTTATTAATGTAATGTAGAATAAAAGACTTCGTGAAGAAATAAAAAATTATGGAATAGGCCTTTTCAGAAAACAAAATGTTTGCAGTGCATTCTTTTTCTTAAAAATCTAAAATGTTGCTTCACAATATATCTGCTCTATTTTCTTTTCTGACCGTACAATTGAAGTGATTAAGCAAACCGATGGGTTTACTTAAATTGCTAATTTCATTATGGTCAGTGAGCCAGTGGTCAACAAAATGGTTTGATAAATACAAAACTCCCATCAGAACTTTTGCAATTGGCACAACCTTTCGCTTAGTAAGGATATTTATTGGTACATGAAAGGAAAACGTTCATTGCAGTGGGTGTGAAACATTGACTCTGAAGGTTTATAACACTAATAGTTTACTAATATTTGACCATTAATGCTTTTGATGAATTCCTCGCAAGCGGAGGAACAACCAAATGAACAGCACCATGTAAATATGATAAATTAGTCGATGAGGTTGTAATTTCACTTTAATCACGAGGAGTAAGATTGGGATAAAATTAAAGAAATCTAAAATCCAACAACTAATGACGTAACTGCGCTCCATTAAACTCACCAAATTTTAGGATAAATGTTTTGGCAATTACATACTTTTTGGCTGTGATTCACACAAAATGCTTAAGACTGTGCTGAGAGCTCTTGGTGGCATAGCTCAAAATCAAACACAATTTATTAGACCTTGATCTTCTCTTCAATCTTTACTTTAAAGTTTGAAGAAGATGGCTTAAAATACCACAACTCTTATTTTCAGAAAAACTCGACAACTATGTTTATTAAAATATGTATAAGATCATCAATATTTGTTTTTAAATTCCAATTCATAACAGGCGTCAGTTAGAATGTCAGGTTAATTATGAGTCAGAACTATAACAAAAACTACCATGGGGACCATTCCTCCACGATGACGTGAGTTAATTAATATTCTATGAGCTATCTAAGTTTTTCACATTTTCTTCTGAAACTAAGAGACAACACTCAGATCTAAAAACACCAATTCTTATACGGTTTGTTTATCAAGCTTGAAACCTCTTTTGCTGAACACTTATTATTTTATAAATATAGACATTACTGCCGATAAAAAGTGCGACCATTATGTAAGTACTGATCTGGGCTTGTAAGTAATTGCAAAATATATGATGAGTGTCTCCCAAATACCTCCAAATTTCCCTACAACTCAAGCGATTCTTCCCAAGATATAGTCAAACACATTTCTCATACTCAGTGTTGATTCAAATCAGACAACCAATGGTACACCAAACAATGAATATCAAATTAAAATTTCAATAGGACATAGAATATCCCAATCTCATGATTTGAGGGAAAATGTTAAAAGTCTCGAAGAGATTTTGGGGAAGCTGCAATGGAAAACTTTAAGGAAATGCAACAAAAACTTTGAAATTTCCCCTGATTTGGTTTTTTCACAGAAAAACTTAAAACTTCGAAGAAAGTGACAAAATGATTTAGGTAAATTTTGGTTTTCTCCAATACTTGCTCGAAATTCAACCGAAATATGGAAATTACAATAAATTAATCAGTATTGGCCGACGTTTCCATAAAAACACATGAAAGTTATCGAATAAGCAGTTACCGCTCTGGTTAGTAAGCTTTTGAATTTGCTCTGAAATTGTTAAAAGGCACAAATAAAGTGTTCCGTAGTCAAGTTGAGGTAAATGTTTGGACCTCCACTCCTGATCATTGATCCTATTCATAAAACGCTCAATGGAGAGGACATGTATATCCTTGAGTATGCTACAAATTTGTGTTAAATATCATGTAAACATACTTGTATAGGCTGTTTTGAAAAAATTTCAACAAGCTAGTTATATCATTTGAGGATGGCAAATTACTTGCATTGTTCACCAGCTTGAAACAAGCTTCATTCAACGCCTTTAACTTTGTGGTGTCTACAGTGATGAACGTATGACTAAATTCTTTTTTATCTTACATGCATGAGACTTAATATTTGTCATTTATGCGACTACTTATTCAAAAATCCAAGGTAGGGTCTCATTAGAAGTTAATATGAGTAGCGAATTAAAACAACCCGGAACGGGTAGGCAGAAAACACTCACGTTATATTTTACTAAAGGCTGCAGAACAGACGATAGTTGTTCATTTGGAAAAATCTTCTATTTTAACCTACTATACTTCAAAAGGGAAAATGATATTGCTTTCAGGTAAGAAAATAAACACAGATATTCTTATTACTAATAATAATGGCTTTATTCGATATTATATTTCGGTACAATATCTAATTTTGCTTGCATGCATGTGTTTTTATGTAATTATGTCTCGTTCTACCAGAAGATATACAAGGAGAAAGATATGAGTGAAGGAGATGGTTAGTATCTGCTAAGAGCACACCTTTCGGGAGTTTGCGTAACTTTACATGTCTATCCACATTCACATTAATAATGATTTCGAAAGCATCACCACACACCTTGTTAACTGCCTTCAGCACTCTCCGCAATACAGCAAAGTCTTTTCTCAAAAGCCCGGGAAAGAATAATGGAGAACAATAAAAAATAATAGGTAATATGCAAGAATTGACAAATTGTAAGAGTAAATGACGAGTAATCCCAAGAGCATGCAATCTCTTTATGTAATAAGTCAGACGGAAAACCTTATTCGATAACAATAAAACGTGAGAAGACCAAGAGAGATCTGAGCAAAAGATAACACCAAGATTATTCACTTTCGACACTGTGTTTATCTAAGAGTCTCCAATGGCATAGGCATTATAAGATCCCAAAGTGGAGTTCAGATGCCGTTAATATCTGACGCTAAAGTTAATAGTTTGACATTTAGACGGACTAAGTATGAGACTATTAACAACAGACCAACAATCAATACGAGACAAAAACTCATTCATTTCTATGAGATGTAAAGTGGTAGAGATAGGCATACAAACAGTAAGATCATTCGCATATTTCAGAAACGTGTTTACTGCGGAATATGGCAGATCATGCAGAAGAGAAGAGAAGAGGTGAAATAACAGCTCCTTGTGGTAAACCTCCATGAGACAGTAGGGACTCTGAACACTTTACTCCAAGCACAGTGTACTGTTCCCTTCTAGAGAGGCAGGAACATAACCAATTGATTAGCCAGCTGTCAGTGTTGACTCTGATTGACTTGTTAAGTAAACGTTGTTATGGTATAGAATCGAAAGCAGAACTATAGTCCAGAAAAGCGCATCGGACATACTTCTTACCCTTTTCTAAGTTAAACACTATATTGTGATGCAGGACAGCAGTGGCATCTAAGGTGCTTCTTTTGCATCTGCAAGCAAACTGATACGGATCGATGTTCTATTTTTCTGTAGGTTGGAGCGAGAGTGTCAATAATTTTTCTATTGTTTTGAGGAAAAGTGAAGTTATTACTTAGGGTTTAAATTTCACCTTATCACAAGATATTTTCTTATGTATAGGAATTATCTTTATCTTTCTCCACATTTCCGGGAATGAGATTAGATCAGATGGATCCGTTAAAAAACACTCGTGAATGGACAGCATAGGACGTCAGTACACTTTTTAAAAAGGAACTTTGTGATACCATAAGGTCCTAAACACCGGGATGAATTAAGTGACTGGAGACATCTTCGGACACTAGTTTCAGTGAAACTAGGAACACAACTATTCTTTAAACCTGTGGATATAGGGTGCTTTGCATCAGATGACTGACGTACAAAAGACTTGTTTAAGCCACAAACATTCAGCTGGTTATCGCTGATAATGTACCTGCCACCTGTAAGTTTTTCAAAATGTTTCAACACACTTGAAGAGTTTTTACAAGACAGGAGTTTTAGAGTAAACATAGAGTTGAGACGTCTAATCTCTAGGTTTATTAGATCATTCATCTTACGAACTTCAATAGAGATTTTCTGGCAGGGGAAAAACGTCAGACTCCTTCTAAGCTGCCCGCCATTTCGTTTCAACGACCTTGAACGGTCTGACAGGAGGCGGTCATTCCGTATTTCGATTGCCATGGGTTTGTTGGGTTGCATGAGTACTATGTTTTCTTCATATTTAAGTCTTTTTCTGCATTGAAAAGCAGAAAATAACTGCTAAAAGCAATAATTTTGCATTCTCTGTTTCGTAGTGTACACGTTGGCTCTGCTGTTGTTTCGTTAGTTGACCTGTGAACCCGAATGCTGTAGTAAACCTCAACGAAATGTCAAGTCATCAGTAAGTCTTAAATATTTGTAGTACCTCCTTCAGTTGTTATTGTTTTAACGGATAACGTTTTTATAATTAATGATTGATGATTGTGGTGCTTCTTGTTCACGTGACGTTTCATTCGAATTAAGCTTTGCTTTCACTGCATTGCGAATACCTAGTGGGACGAGTGGGTGAGCGTCGGTCCACTGAGAAATGTTTGCAGCTGATTGTGAAGCTGTTAGTTTTCGGTGAAAGCGATCTGCTAACCTGTTTGCTTGTGGGTGGTGGGCGGTCGTTCGGATGCGAGTGATTCCTGATAATGCTGTCAGAAAACGGAAAAGTCCAGATTTGAACTGGCGTCCACGATCTGTAGTGTAGTTGAAGGGCGGCGAAAGTTTGCTACCCATCGTTCGACGAAGGCGCGGGCCACTGTTCCAGCAGTGATGCCCTTGATAGGTACTGCTTCTAGCCATTGAGTGAAATGGTCTACGCAGGTTAATAGACAAGAGTATCCATTTGAGTCTGGTAAAGGTCCTATCAAATCCAGATTAATATGGTCGAAACGAGCATCGGGAGTTTTAAATGAGCCTAAGGGACATTTGTTGCGTCTGGTAACCTTGGACTTTTGTCAGCTCACACAGGAGCGTGCCCACTCCCTCACGTCTTTATTCATGCCAGCCCAACAAAACCGTTCTGCTATAAGCTTGAAGGTTGCATGAACACCTGTATGAGAGGGTTTGTTCAACGTATTGAAGACGTTGCTTCGATAATGTTTCGGCACGACTGGGCGATCACCACCTGTGGATGTGTCACAAAGTATAGTTTTCTTACCTGTTCTCATCCGTTTAATGCTCAGTTTAAGGGTTGTTGAGGATAACTCATGCTGAAGATCAATGTCTTCTTTTTGAAGCTAGGTGGGTTTAATAATAATAATATATTTCTGCATTTGCAGGTACACACCGTTTTTACAGGCATGATCTATAAATTACAACATTTGTTGGTTGGCAAAATGCTTCCCAACTTATTAAGTTTATAGTTGTTATAAAGTGAAATCGTAGTGCGCTTGCTGTAAACTATGACCTTGAAAGGACGCGTACGTTAAGTTTGTTCCAAACGTCAGGAGTTTCATAGCTGTGCTCTCAGAGCAAGATTCTGAAGAAGAAAAAAAGAGAAACAGAAGAGCAGCAAGGCACTTGGATATGAACGTCAAAGGTTGCTTAACATTGTGTAGTAGAACGGACAGAGGTAGAATAAATTAGAATAAATTCATATAATGTCTTGTTAGAGTGAAGTGAAGTCAAAGGCTCCATATTAGAGAATGTACTAATAAATAACAATGAGTTGTGATGTTTAACAAGTTGGAGTAAGCTCACATGAGGGAAGGGAAGTCAAGGTTGGTACAAGGGAAGCGGTTTATTCGAAGGGTGTATGTATAGAGGATGAAGTGTTAAGAATACTAGTGACTATATCTTTTATTGTCTGTTTTCTATTCTTTTTTGTCCATTCGATGTCAGCCACGCAATCCTAGTGTAAAAGTCCGAGTTCGCATGTTATAGGTTGTCTTAGTAGAATAGCTAATCCAGCATAATATTGGAAACATGAGTCTGAATGGTGAGCGTAAGAAGACAATCTATATCTTAGATTGACTGTCTTATTTTCAATTATAAAGAGCCTGATGCATACAAAATGTTCTGTCCCCACAAACACGGGTGGATTGAAGTTATCGCCCTCACCATCAATGTTTGCTGGTCAGTAACTCCACCCTCCCTCCTTTTGTGATGTTAGGCTCATTTAGGCTTATTTTTGTATATACGTCATACCTCACACAATTCTCTGTGTTTCACAACCTATTGGAAAGCACTATTTCTATAAGTACCATTTTACAAGCTTATCAGGCAGTTACAAGCTATGGACTGTGGGTAAAGCATCGATGCAGTGCCTCTGTTGACTATAGTATAAAGTATAGTTTGCCAATCAGAGTATAAGCGTTAAGAAGGGTATATTGTAGGATAGTTGTTTATTTAAGCAGGCGGAAAAAGTATAGAAGTATATGAGTTGTGGATAAGAGAACGAGTGGAGAAATAATATTAATTGCTAGTCAACATAGTGTACAGAAGAGTAAAAAGTTAATACAGGATAAACAGGAAGGAACTCACAGTAACTTGGTGCTGATGTTATTTTCTGTTGTCTTAACCAGTTGATTGGTAACAGGTTCCATAGATGCAAGACCGCTGGTAGTAGGCAGCCGATTGTGCGGTCCTCTTGAATTTTTAGGGTGGTAGTGAATGTCCCTTATCGACCGAGTTTAGTTTAACAGTAATGATAGGTCCAGTGAGTTACCTGTCTACTTCAAGTGAAGAAATGGGGTGGAAAAAGTAATTAATACAACTGCAAAGTAGGAAAAATAAGACAAACTGAACTTGAAGTCCATTTTGGTCTAGACATGGAGAGAGCCTATGATGTCTGAGTGGGGCGCAGATGTGTTCGTACGTGCAAGATCAGTGCGAGTGAGGGCCTGATCAAGCAGTTTCACAAACGTATGTAGTTCATCTGCCATGCGAGTTTCAGAGGGAAGACTGTTCCATATTATTGCATACTTGGTGAGGAAGAAGTTTTCCCGAGTTTTTGATTTGTATTTCTCAACTTTGACCGTAGATACTTTGTTTCGAAGTCCGTATTCATGTGAATCTCGGGCAAGAATTATCTGACATGTTGAATAAGTAAGGTTTTTGAGTAGTTTGAAGTAGAGAATCAAATTAGATCTAAGCCTTCTCTCCCAAAGGGGTGCTATTCCTAAGATTTGGCATCGAGAA